TACCCTAATACTACGACAGTTGGCACGCGGAGCAACGGCCGCGCGAGCCGTGAGTTCATGTTGATTGTTTGACGTTTGTGTATGTTTAACATGTGTTTGGCATGGTGCTTTAGTCGTTTTATTTCTAAAATGGTACTATACCTACCTGTACAGTATTATCTATCCTTATTACAGTCATAGTTCATACCGGCGCTGTCTTCCATGGATCAGATGTACCTAAAATATCATAATTTGTAAAGGATGCAAAATTAGTACTCGATATGAAATGTCATGTGCCCGAACACCATTCGCCGCGGCCGCTGAGGCGCCGCCCGCGACCCGAGAGCCCTACGCTGCTGTATTACGAGAACCGTCGAATCATCACAATTAGTTCAGTAGTTCAATTAATTTATTCTTGTATTTATCGCAATAGTAACTCGTCAATAACTGAGAACGTCGTGGCCAAACCCCGAATCAGACTGAATTTATGTATACTGTAACTGCAAAGTATTTCTGTACCCGCGTTTTGACTCGACTCGCTTGCGCGGCGGGCCGACCCGGCCCGCCCGGCACTCGGTGCCGCACAAGGCAACATTAGCAATAAGCAGTTGTATTTAAAGTCTATTTATACATTTTACGAGTCTATACAAATTTTTGTACGTGAAAACTCATGTTCGAATACGTGATTAATGAAGTGATCCTTTTTTGAGAATCATATACTGAATCAACTGTAGTTGTTATTTTGTAGGCGGTCGGCACATTCCACTAGAAAACTTCAAACGAAATTCCACGATTGATTTCCACATTATGAAATGTAATGGATTTGAAATCCAAAGTGTAACACCGTTTTGGTGTGTGAGCACTTTTTGTACCATCACGTAGGTTTTGGGTACACTTTATGACTTTATATGAAATTTGATATTTTTATATTGAATATATATAAATTATACATGGATATGTATACATGTATATACATTGTTGATGGGTACGAGTAAAAGCCTACTATATCGCAACTGTTTAATTCTATTTTGGCACGTCAAGAGTTTCATCAGAACCAAAGTATACAAATCATTAAAGTCGAGTAAGAAGTAGGAAAATATTTATACAACTCAGGGACTGAAGACTAGTTAAATGTTTGATATATTAACTGTATTTTAACTGACATTAAGCGGTAACCTCTTTGTTCAAAACCTGTGAACCGACTTTATGTAAAACTATACAGGAACTGAGACTAGCTGACGGCAGGTTTTGAATGAATAACGTAGATTTTGAAATGAATAAGTAGAACTGTATTTGGTTTTCTTAAATAAATTTTTCGTTCATGTAAAAGGCTGAAATTGTACTGTTGTTCCGTAAATGAGTTAATTTTGGGATGTACATAAGTTAGCTCGTGAACACTCGTTTCCATTTGACGACTGCTGCCCGCGCCGAGGCGCGACGCCGCGCGATGCCGGTTCGAAGAAACTCAACACAAAAGCGTATTGAAAAGTGAGATTTTTATTAGTGAAATGTTCGATCGTAACGTACTGAACCATAATACTCCGTAGATCAGTATTATACGCGTATAATTTCTGATCAAGCCAAATTTATTGAACTGACTAAAAAACCGCCTTTACTTCTTGTGAAAATAATAATAACCATGAAGTGCAATGTAGTACCGAGCGTCTGGTACTTAGTTAAGTATGATCGTCTAGTGTTCGACGTACACTGTGGCTTCCTGTAAAAGCAGTCTTCCGATAGATATTTCCGCTGAACTTGCATTTAAATTGATGTCAACGTATTAAATTGTTTTCACAGTAAAAGTTCTTTTGACTTTCCCGCGTCGTGTAACCGGTATGCGGCACCAACCCCCTGTTCCGTTCTCCAAGACTACGTATAGTTTCATTCCACAATGCAAATCGTTGTTCCCTTAATTAACGTGTAATGCAAATAATTAGAATAGACACACCGACGTTGTTTTAAGTGAGTAGAGATAGCGTGGCACGGCCGTGTAGTGTAACACCGACAAAGCGAAGTATTTTAGCACCAAATTATTTTTCTAAATGCTTTCCTTCCATTAAAGCAATAACTTAATTTGATGGTAGTGCCTTCAGCTTCAGTAATAATCAGATACAATATAGCAGTTGCATGTGCTTTACACAATATTTTTACAGGTAATAGAGAACTTACCGTATTCGTAAACGTAGTGATAATGTAAAAACTATGTTTAAAATATTTTGTAACAACTAAAAATGATAATGTGGCTGTCTAATCGTTGCATTTTTCACACATGGTGTAAAAAATTAAATCGAGAGTAAAACCGTAGATGTTCCTAGTTAACACTAACATTCTTACATGTGTGATAAGCGTACTTTGAGATTACGGACGATGGTTAGTGCCTGGCCCCAGGCACGATGAGCACAAATGATGCGTATTGGGGAACCAATTCTCGAAAACCAAAACTATGATTCAAATAAAATCATGTCGATGAAAATAATTCAAGTGTTAAGTAAATGTTTTAAAATTAAGTCGTTAAATATAAGTGAACGCTCGACTTGTTTTGCATCAGTGAATAGTGAAGCTATAGGAAAGACGATAAAAGATGGCTAGTTTTAGACTAGGCTTAACTATAGATAGGCTAGAATAGCAAAAAATGTTTCGACGCTAAGATAGATAGAGTAGAGACCTAGTTTAATATATTGGAGCGCCGCGGCGCGCGGGGCGGCCGGCTCTAGGGTAGTTTCCTTTGTTAGTTTATTAAATAATTTAATTTGAATGGACTGAAGCCGCGCCCCCGCGCGCCGCGCGCCTAGTTAAGGAGGATCTAAGGATTAGTGAACACATTCTTGGTAAGTTTCAGTTGAACAAGTTTGCTTTCACCTCTTTTGTTATGTAGTTGAATAAGTGTAAAGAAAGAAAACAAATGAAAAAAATCTGTCGGAAGTGTCGATACGAATGTAATTGTCCAATGTGTATTAATATAGTGTGGTGTTCTACCCAGCAGACTAGTCTAGACAGTAGAATAGTTTAGTTAAAAAATTAGTTAGGTAGTCTAGAAATACGAAATGCAAAAATAAAAACTTCATAAAATGTAAAAAAAAAGAAATGAAATTGTTGGTAAGAAAGAATATTTTTAAGGGACATGTTGCTTCGTTGTGTTATGGTGTGAGGTTTGGCATAACTATGATAATAGTGTAAAAGCATTTCTCGCAGAGAAAAGACAGAGGAAAGTTATGTATCTATTTTGTTACAAAGTGTTTGCAAGTTTCTATATTGTGCTATGAGCATTTTATGTGACCCGCATTATTTATAGTTATGCTGAATGGAAACTAAAATAATATATAAATAAATCAAAATGGTACTAAGAAGCATGTTTTATTGTGACAAGTCATGTTCCTTTGCATTGAACATATTTTGTAAGAGCAAATGATTGAAATAAAACAAGCGAAACCAAATCTAGTACATTATTTCATTGGTAGTAGATTGTACCTATTTCCTTCTTCGCTCATGTTCACACTAACCATACTATGAAAACCTAACCACGTGACGTCACACAGCACACATTATTTTTAAGTTACTCTTCTAACCACCGACTACGTCTGCAAAAATATTTTTTTACCACTAAACTTGTTGTAGCTATCGCGTCTATTTCTTATAAGAACGAAATTGAATATTGTCAGAACGAATGTTGGTTCAAAATAAAAAGGTAATTAAGGTAAAACTATTTATTATCTTTCACGTTCATCCTCGTTAACTAGTGTACTATTTGATACAAACATATTTTTATGATAAAATAAAATCAATATTCAGATAGTGATGAACAATAATAACAAAAAACTCGATACTAACGATAGAGAAAGTGCCATCAAATTAAATCTATACTCAACATCAAATAAATCGCACCTTCCGCGACGCGAACTTTGAAGATTTTCTTATGACACAATCATGGTGCTCTAACAATATTGGTGATATTTGAAAGCCTAATAAATATCCTTAAAGAAAAACACATTTAATTTCTTAATAAATGATTAACATATACCATAAATGTGACTTGAAAAAAGACCTCACTTGGGGCTCACCTCTGGGATCAATTAGACCAATTTTTGTGGTTATAAAACCAAATAATGATCTCACGTGTCCTCTTTAACAGATGGATAGCGATTAATCCTAACTTAACAGTTTTAAATGAAATGAAGCTTAGAACTAGGCTTTCAAATGGTGCCAATATTGGTGGGAAGTGGGGATGCATACGTTTGAAAGTGCTTGTCGCGAGAGGTGCGATTTATTTGATGTCTAGTGTATACCTATCCACATCCTACCTGCACACAAGCATACCTATTTTCAAGAGTTACACCCGGTTATAATTTCTGTGATTAAAATGGCCGAATATAAATGAATGAATGTCAGTAAGTTACATCATAGGTGCGTAAATTGGTCACTTACAAACGTTAGTAATACGTCAAAATAAGTCTACTGCTTGAACACACGAACTACACAAAAGTATAGCACTTGTATATGTATTGAAATATCGTACTTATTTTAGGTCATCGACAAACAAAACCGATTTCGAAGTAAAGATAAGCACACAATAATAGTTAAATAAAACTGTAAAAGTACTATTATTTGTTTATAATTTTCACGGATTAAGATAAAATGCAGTTCATTCATACAGTTATTGTTTTTTTAAGCAATCATAATCACTCTGCGACTTGGAAAACGTCACAAACGCCAAATATTTTAAGAAACATCATACTTTGGACGTATATCAACTGAATTGTTACCCTTAAACTTTTATCTTAATAGTGTCCTATTTATTATTACATAATAAAAGGCAGCAAGTCTAAATAACAAAGAACATCGTGTGTATAACAAGGAGAGAAAGAAAAATATGTGCGAATGTTCATAATAAAATTATAACATCAACCGAATCGCAAAAACGAATTCATAACATATCAATACGAAACTCTTAATAGTCGCGTCAAGTACGCCTAACATAGTACCTACCTACGTTAATAGGAAGTAAGCAAAGTATAATGATACAAATTTAATTCATATCAAAAATTTTAATGGTTTGTCTCATAACTTTCAATAGAAAAGTTAATATCCCAAAAGTTTATAAATATTGTTACTTCCTACCTATACAATTTTCCTGGATGTGTGAATTGACACAGCCAACTACAAAAATAAGGTTTATGCATTTCCTACCGCATGCTTGGCCTTGAATATCCTGAGGGTGTTGTCGCACGAACCGCTGACCAGCAGTGAGGGATTTGACCAGTCGCAGCAGAGCACTTTGTCTTCGTGTCCACTCAGATCGTATAGTGGTGTACGGGGACTGGAAAAAAGATATTCAAATAAGTTGAGATTCTTTTTTTAAGCAATTATTCTAGGTTAAAAAAGGAATTTAAACGTAAAATAGCTTTTCTTTTCATAAAGCTTACCTTCTGGTTTCCCAAAGTTTGACCTGACCGTCATATCCAGCAGATAAGAATAAAGTATCGCGAGTTTTTGACCAACGGACGGATTGCACCCAACCAGTGTGAGATGTGAATGTGGTTTTCACAATACTCTCTAGAAAATAAATAATAGCATTATTTAATAACCATCATACATTTAAATAGAAATAAATTCTATATTTATTTACTTCAAAAGAATGTTTATACAAATATAGAAATAGTTACCTGTGGATCGAGGATCATATAGTCGAATATGTCTATCTGCTGACGCTGTCAAGACACTATTGTTCAGGGGAGACCAATCCACATCAAAGAATGCTTTGTTGCCTGAAAAACATGGAAAAAAAATGTTTAGAGTATTATTATTATACAGTATAGCTTTCCGACCGCGGCTTCGCGCACGTGGAATGTTTCGGTTTTTTATAAAACCTATGACACTCAGCAATAATGTGGCTTTCTATTGGTGAAATATTTTTTAATCGGTTCAGTAGATCCCGAGATTACCCCTTACAATTTAACAAATATACAAACACAAACTCTTTATAATATTAGTATAGATAATAATGTACCATGTTTTATGCAAATAAATAATTTGAATTTGAATTTGATAAGCATCTAAACACAAAAAAAGTTATTTGATTCTCACCTACTATTTCTTGCTTTATACCCCCAAGCTCACAGTCCCACAGCTTCAATAAATGATCCCAGCCACTGGACAATAATGTGTTGAAGTCCATCCATTGCACACCTGAGACAGCCTCGCGATGCCCTTTGAGTGTGCTTAGTGGTTCCTGAGAGAAGAAATCTTTTAGTACCTTTAAGGGAATTATAATAATTGTACAGTTGACAGCACAGCACACTATACATTTTTATTGCAAAATAGCTCCTGTTACAACTGCATAAGATGCAAGTGTTTGCATTGAAGTTGTCTATACATTTTGAATATAACATAAGGCATTATTTGATGAACAGAAAACTCAGCACTTACTCTTATATTCCCATGATCTGGCTTGCTTCTCTTTTTGGCTGGAGCATTATCTTCATCTGATAGACCTGAAACCAATAGGTAACATGTTACACTGGTGTATGCTTTTTATTTTTTCTTATTGTAGCAAAGAAAGATTCTAGCAATATTTAGGACTAGCTTTTGCCAGCGGTGTCACCCGCGTGTAATTTAGTTTGTCACAGATCGTCATAAATTATAGCATATATGTTATACTCGGTTCTAAACAATAATACTGTAAAGTTTCATCAAAATCCGTTCAGTAGTTTTTGTGTAAAAGAGTAACAAACATTCAGACATCCAAACTTTCGCATTTATAATACATTAGTAGGAAATGAAACTCCTTTATTTGATGTTCTCAATATCATTTAGACCACAATAAAACTGTACTGAACTTATGAAAAATTAAAAGAAACATGTCACAATTTACACATACACATTACATAACACAATCTCTGAAAGTATGAAATACAAAGAACCAAAAAATGCTAAGCTAATTTTAATAAGCACTCACTTGTGCTCCAAAGACAGATATTAGTGTCCCAACTGCCAGTGGCAAACTTCAGGGCATCAGCTGATACTGAGAGGCACTCCACTCCTTTATCATGGCTGCGGCATGTTACCACACAGTCTACCGAGTTGTTGCTGACATTCCACACCCACAGCATCGCAGACTGATCATGTGAACCACTGAAAAATAAGTTTGTTTAATTTTAGAATAATAAGAAAATTAAACATCACAAGAATAAGTGGTACCAATAAAAGTATAAATGGTACCAATTATTAATATCTACATAATTAAAATAATTTCCCTGAATTAAATATCATTTTAGTTGTAAGAAATTAGTTATTTGTCTGACTGATATTATAATGTAGACGAAAATTAAATTAATGTTTAGTTTATGTTACTTACCTCACAAATACAGCTTTATCTCCAACAAATGAGGCCCAAGAGACTGCCTTGACAGGTGAGGTGTGGCCTGGAATGGCCAGCTTGTGTTGACCTTTATTGCTCCAAATATGAATGCTGTTGTCATAACTACCTGAGAGAATCCTGCAAGAACAAAAATTATCTTACTTAACCACAATTCCTTCTTAAAACTAAGTTACAGATAAAATATAAAATGATCAGTATTGCAATGTAAATAAGCTGCTCTACTTGAATATCTTACCAATTGCCATGTGCCTGCACAGCTGACACCCAGTCATCGTGCATCAAACAATCTTGAGGAGCTGGTGCTGGAAACCTCTCTAAATATTCGATTTCTAAAGTTTCTTCTGTAGATGCACTTTTCTCTTGCAAGTGCTCCGCAAGGGTCGTGCAAAGGAGTTCTCCACATACTAGGAAATCGAATTCTACCGCCTTTTCAAGAGCAGCATTGGTCTCCTTCAGGAGAGCATTAACCAGAGTATTGAGGTCTGATGATTGAACATTGCTTTGTATAGCATAAGGACTATCGGGAACTGCATACCTGTATTAATTAACAAACAATAACATTAGTAACACGTTTGTAGCCTGTAAACCACGCCGGTAAACAAACGTATATTACTTACTGCTCCTGTTTCGTTACAAAGCGCACTTGTAGCTGAACTTCAGCTAAATCTGCAGCCATTTTAAGCGCTACTACTGATTAAAATTCCTGTAAAATTGTTAATTTACGAAAAGGAAAACATTAAAAACACCAACTGCAAGCATGGACCAAATACCACAGACCACAGACAATTTTACTTTGACGTTTGTGGATGAACTGTCACTCTGACAATTCTAAAATAGAGTCATACACATATCGATAATAGTTTATCGAGAACCGGTTTTTAAAAATCATTTGGAAAATGCTTGTCAAGCTTTAAAACGTACAGCTTCCGCTTTGAAGCTAATAAAACTCTTAAAAATATGGTTTTAAAGCGGTCAGTAAACATTCCATCTGCAACAATCCACAAGTGCTGCAACAAGTTTGTTACCACTCCATCGCATTATTATATCTTTGATTATTTTTTTTATTTCTTTTAATTTCATTGGTTCCGAAACAAACCATGTAGTGTTGTTGACGTAATGTCATTCTCAGTTTGTTTCGGAACTATTTATCTGTGACATTGACGTTTAAATTTTGAGGTTATGTCATGTGTTGTTGCTGTTGTCCCGGAGTGTTTTACTGAGTTTTATGAAATGTTAATTTAATATCAGCAAAATGGGTGTTAAAACGTTCAGTGACCATAATGCCGAACCCAAATATAACTTTCATAGAAAGGCTGGCAGAAGTATAATTGAACGCCGTCCTCTTTTCTCACCGGATGGAGAGTATGTAACCTATATCAATAAAAACGTGTTAATTATTCGTTCCTGAGGTTCCCCGATAGTAAAATGTATTAAAACCCTCATTAATATTGCAGGTCTTTAGCAATCATAGTAGAAAATATAGTACGGGTGTACAACATCCAAACCGGAGACATTGTGCGAACACTTGAAACAGAAACTTCTGTAAATGAATTAGTAGGAATTCAATTCCCAGCAGATGAAGACTATAATTTATACTCGTGCTCGGATTGCGGCTGTGTCACCACCTGGACGTGGGAGAATGGAGCAGTGCTCAGGGAAACTGTAATTATTGCTTACTTAATTAGTAGTAAAGAAGGAAGATTAGACAAAATGCTGTAGCGCATGGGACTTGTTTCAATAAGATACATTTAGATATAAATAGGCACATGTAGCATTTTGTCAATTACTTGGGTGCCACTTAATTATTTATCCATAAAAAATTGGGCTGAAAAGTTATTGAAATAAAACCTACAACTTGTTTAATTATTGCCACTAATGATGAAATATTTCTTTATTTATTTCAGAAACTAGAGCTTCCTAGTGGAACTAAAGTACTTACATTTGACTTGTTAGATAGCAAAGAATGCTTCATCACTGCTATTGGTGGTTCATATAGAAAACTTCTTTACCTTGGAACATACTCCGTGAAGACTGGCGAACTTATTCATGAATATAAAGAGACAAAAGCTAATTACAATGACATACTCAGGGTTTCTCTGGGCTGGTGCCAAGGAGACCGGTTTGCAGCGATTGCTAATGGGACTAAATGTCTGTTCATACAAAATCTCAGCCAGCCTCACATTCATTCAGAGTAAGTGCTAATTCTGCAAACTTCAAGTTTACTACCAGCTACTTAACTTACATTTATTTTATGAAACATAAATTTTTACTGTACTGATTGAATTGACATAAAATGATATGAATAACTTTACGTTTGAGCACTGTAGCTAACCTTATTTGATTTATGCTGCATTTTCTAATGTTTTTTACCTTTAAAGCTATATTTTTGATGTAAAACTAATTACCTACTTATTTTTGAAACATTAAGAGACTGGTGCTAGAGAGAGAATTTGTAAATTTATAGTTTTATATCTAATAATGAAGTTAATCTTTGTTTTAGAATATTGAATCACAACAAATTCAGAATATTAGCAGTGGCAGCTCATAGCTCGGAGAATGCTGTTGCCATAGTGGACACAATTGGTAGAGTCACAGTCATTCGAGGCAATTTGTATGATCACACGAAAATTGCAAGAGAAGTAATGCACTGGCACTTCTTGCCTCCACTGGCAGTGTGTTTCTCCAAACAAGGTATTTATAGTTGTTATTGTGTTCTTGTAGCTGAAATTCATAGTAAGAATTTGTATGTGCATGATGTTGGTATTAATTATCCTATAACTTTCCTATTAATTCTACATAGTCACTCAATTTGAATAGTTTTTTATTTTAAATGGATAAAGGCATTAAAAAAAAACCTTTTCTGTTTTAGGATCTTATCTCTATACAGGTGGAATGGAAAAAGTACTTGTTAAATGGACAATTGGAAATTTGATAAATAAAGCCAATGAGAAAATGTTCATTCCTCGATTGCCAGGGATGGTGAGATACATAGCTGTAAATGACACTCATGCAGCCATTACTCTCACAAATAATTGTAAGTAGTAACATAATTTTCTTTCTATTACCTACAACATGCTGAAGTTTTTAATCAGCTGTTCACTTTTAACGAGACAAAATTGACCTCTGTGTTGTGACCAATAATGTAAGTCACGAAAAGTGTACGAGTCGGCGTCAAATAGTTCGTGACATCCAAAATAGCCAAAAAGTTCGCAATACGTCGTTGTTGCAATTGGAACAAGGTTGTTTTGTAAACTTTGGGTGCCACGAACTATTTGACGCTGACTGTACAGACAGATGACGGCATCTCAAGCTAAGCTCTGTAGCAAGTTATGTCGTTGTAATAGGGGGTAATTTTGCAATAAACATATTTGTAATACCTTAATAAATCTTAATTTCCAGCTGTGGTAATAGCAAGCGTACAAATGCGCGTAGTGTCGACAATCTTAGAATGCGGCGGGCTGTCACCATTTGCACGAGCCATAGGCACATCCCTATTGTACCACAGATCTCTAGGCGCCCTACTGATGGGAGGTCGCACTGGCCACTTGCAACTTTTGTCCACGACTACTGACAAAGTCCTGTATAATGTAAGTTATTTTAACTCTTATGTGCATCTAAATATTATGAAAGTAGTAGAAACTTATTAAAAATAAATTTCTTCACAGGTAGACATAACAATGATGAATAGCATACCACCAGCGAGGCGAAACCTACTGCCTCTTGAGACAGAAGTGACTTGCGCAGCCATAAGCGGTGACGGAAAGTGGCTGGTCACCTCCGAATATAGGAACGACGGCCTCATGTACCCAGAAGAGATGTTGAAATTCTGGCACATCCAAAAAAACAATCCTACTTCACCATTCAGACTGAATACATGCGTCAATCTATCCCATGGCGGCTGCAATGTGGTTGCGTTAGCTCTTAACAAAAGTGGGGATTTTTGTATATCAGCTGGCACTGATCAGAAATTCCGCATATGGAAAAAAGAAACTCAAGGGAAGGCTTCGTGGAGCTGCCAAACCGCTTGTTACTATTCGTCCGGTATCGCTCAGTTCCTCGCGAGTAATGTTCTCAACAGTTTCAAAAATGGAGAAGAATACACCCCGGGCGAAATTGTACAGTTCCCTTATCTAACGGAAAATTCTAAAAACGATGTAATAAAGAAACTTTACAATATGCACAAAGAGCAGTCTTTGTTTGACGCGGAACTGTTCGATTCCAACATGAAGAAGAATGGAGATTTCGATATGGGAGGCGTAGCGATTTCTCAAGATGGGTCGTTAATTGCGGCGTGGTTTGGGTGCAAGTTGACTCTGTGGGACACACACCTTTGTAGTTTGCGAACTACTTTGTCTCATCCTGCGCTTCGGCCGAAAGGCGTTCACGTGCTATTTGGAAACCAAGACGCAGCCCATTATGTATGTACAAAAGTTTTATACTTTCCATTAGTTTAGTGTTGCTCTTAGAAAATATAAATACCTATAATGTCTTATCTTTTTACAGTTGGTGTGCACAACTGAAAAGTGCCTAGCTGTATGGAGTTTACTTTCTTTAACTGTGAAATGGTTGGTTCAACTGAACCCTACATATCTTGCTGCAGATCCATTCTCCAACAAAATGGCAATAACAACGTCCAGTAACGACAGTAAGGAAATATTTGCTGGATAAATCGTTTATAATTGCTAACTGACGCTTGTATCAAACTGAAGTATTTTCTTTCTCTTTTCAGTTTACGTATTCACACCACACAATTCTAAGCCGATTCTAACAAGAAAAAGCTTGTTAAATCCGAAAACCGGTGTGTTCAAGTTGTGTACATTCGGAGCTACATCAATTCATAACATTACACTTTATGTTATGAGAAATGACTCTGTAAGTATATCAATATTATCTAGATTCTCTCTATTTCTCATAATTTAACTAGAAAATTTTTGAAGATTTTAGCACAACACTTATGACTATAGCCGTCATAAGTGTTCTGCTAAAATTGGTTCGCACCGCGAGCGAGACTAACGACTGAGACGGGAGACCGCGACCGTCTCTTGATTTAAAGCATCATTTCGCGAGCAAGACAGAGACAGAAGACAGAAATCTTGTCTCTGTCGCGACGCGAAATCTTTAGGTTTTTGTCTCCTATCTCTGTCTCGCTCGCGACTGATACTTATACATTGCCTAAAATCTCTGTAGCCGCACAAACTGCCGCCTTCTAAATTGTTATAGGCCATTCCCTGCACTTTCCTTTCCTTCTTGTATTTTAATCCTATCTTTAATTTCTACAGGAAGTGTACTGCCTAGAGCCTGAGGACAAAGAAGAGAGCCGTCTCGAAGTGATGACGCGCCGCAGCCTACCCGCATCTACCTTCAGCACGCTGCTGGCCGAACAACAGCTGTCCGACGTGCGAGCGGCCGCGCCCGTCGACTCGCAGCCCTTGGATCTTAACACAGGACACGAAGCCCTGTCCCAGGTACACTATGTATTAGATTACTAAAGCCCGGTCTGTGAGCACGTAGAATTTTGTCCAATGACCCCAAGATACCCATCCTTATCGCTCGCGCGTAATTATATTGCTGTCGCGCTCGCACACTCACTGCGGGCGTTCGTCGCCAGGTCGCGAGCGATAAGGATAGGTAGCTTGGGGTCATTGGACAAAATTCTACGTGCTCACAGACCAGACTATAACTTTAAATATATGCTACTATGTCTTGACGCCTTCTCGATACTGGTCTTGGATCTTAACACAGGACACGAGGCTCTGTCCCAGGTACACTATGTATTAGATTACTAGCTATAAGTATATGCTACTATGTCTTGGCACCTTCTGGATGCTGTCTAAAGTCTGAGGACAAGGAAGAGAGCCGTCTCGAAGTGATGACGCGCCGCAGCCTACCCGCATCTACCTTCAGCACGCTGCTGGCCGAACAACAGCTGTCCGACGTGCGAGCGGCCGCGCCCGTCCACTCGCAGCCCTTGGACCTTAACACAGGACACGAGGCTCTGTCCCAGGTACACTACGTATTAGATTACTAGCTTTAAATATATGCTACTAAAGCCTGGTCCGTGAGCACGTAGAAGATCCCGTAATTATGTTGCTGTCGCGCTGNACGTGCGAACGGCCGCGCCCGTCCACTCGCAGCCCTTGGACCTTAACACAGGACACGAGGCTCTGTCCCAGGTACACTATGTATTAGATTACTAAAGCCCGGTCTGTGAGCACGTAGAATTTTGTCCAATGACCCCAAGCTACCCATCCTTATCGCTCGCGCGTAATTATATTGCTGTCGCGCTCGCACACTCACTGCGGGCGTTCGTCGCCAGGTCGCGAGCGATAAGGATAGGTAGCTTGGGGTCATTGGACAAAATTCTACGTGCTCACAGACCAGACTATAGCTTTAAATATATGCTACTATGTCTTGGCGCCTTCTCGATACTGGTCTTGGATCTTAACACAGGACACGAGGCTCTATACCAGGTACACTACGTATTAGATTACTAGCTTTACATATATGCTACTATGTCTTGGCGCCTTCTGGATGCTGTCTAAAGTCTGAGGACAAGGAAGAGAGCCGTCTCGAAGTGATGACGCGCCGCAGCCTACCCGCATCTACCTTTACGATAGTCCTCATAAAAAGGCAAGCCCACGTATAAAACCACGGTAAAGCATGTTCTGGGATTTCTCTACGTGACCGGATCAGATATGAGGAGATCCCTAGGAGAATAAAAGAAATGGCAATAGTTTAGAGGTTTAAGACCTACCCTTAAACGGGTGCGGGTGGTCCTGTATGAAAAATTAGTATGAGCAGCGCAACGCGAGTTTTAGCGGAGGCCCTTACGCAGTAAAAAGCTATAAATAAACAAGCACATAAGTACTTTGTCATGTAATATGAGTACAGATGATTGTGTGCTACTCTATACGATTTCTTATGAGACGAGACGTGATAAGAAACTGTGTCGTTGAACTTATCATTAATTACATTTACTTAGCAGATACAGTCAGAAAAATGACATGAGGGAGATAAAAATATTGCATTTCTTGTTATAAGTACTCCGTTTTTTGGGAATGTCCAATAAAGAGTATCTATTTTATCTATCCAATATTCCAGTGGTGAACTGGTAAAAAGATTAGCGTAATTCCATAAATAAAACACATTCTATTGTAATAGGGATGTTTCTTGGGTCGTCACCTATTTTTCACTTTTTAAAACTAATGAAAATGTAAAGAGATAAAGCGTGCCAAAGTTCTAAAGAAAAGGCCCGTGACGTCAGTGAGTGCGTAAAAGTGCAGCACTTTGTGACATCGCGCGGAACTTCAACGCACTATAACTTTGTAATTATTTGTTTGATTGACAATTAAAAATGTACGTGTCCAATATTTTTTGATACTAAAATTGACGGACTAAAAAAATTTTTTTAGGAAACTAGCCTATTGTATATGCGATTTGTATTTCCTTATCAAATAAAACAAGCGTTATGCGGTTCCGTTTGACTTATCCAGACATATCCAGAATTATTGACGTTTGTCATTCTTATGGTAACAGCTCTAAGACGTGGCTCATTGGCCACCAAATCACAGCAGTATAAATCAAATTGTGTCTTATTACAAATTAACATAAGTATTGTTTGTTGCAGCTTCTGATAGCATCACCGCACATGTGCCCACCAGTAAGTTTACTATGCACATCGTTCTTACAAAGCCTTTCCGGCCAAGAACAACCAGAGGAATCTACGGAGGATCAAGACGAGAAAATGGACGTGGAGTCAAACTCGAGTGACGACGAAGACGCGCCCAAACTTAACGGACCATACGCCCCTAAAGTCACGCAGTTGTGGACACCAAATTATGAGGGTGTGAAAGAGAAGAGACTAAAAAAAATCGTGAAAGAACCATTTTTAGATTTACACACGACAGAGGCCATGTTCGGCGTTTAATGTAAGTGACTTTATTTTAATAAATATGTTAATATTTTATTTAATTCTTTTAATTTTCATTTAAATATCACATGTGCCTGTTATGCGAATTCAAAGTGAATAGTTATAAGTAGATTACAAGATTAAGGTTTTCATAAAGGGTAACTTAGTCTTAGACATCTCTAACAGATGATTTTAAAGTTTTTATTTGCTAAGTATCTACTATTATTTGCTCACACTGTAATATTTATGTTGCTGACTATACAAACATATCTTCGTAAATACTTCTTCAAGACTGTGTTTTTACACTAGTATTACGTTGTACACGATGGAGTTACTGAGTGAGAAAGAAATTAATCATATAATACAACAACTTGGCTATACAAAAGCTTTACAATGGTCAGTAAATAACTTCACGGATCATTTAATAGGCTACTTGGGTGAACACCTTACATTGACTGTAGAGGTTGAATCAGGAGCAACGAAAATAGTGCTTAAGTTCTTCATTAAATGTATCCCGAGATTTGATGTTTATCTAGCTGAATATTTGAAGGAAACCTCATTTTTCAACAAAGAATATGTTATGTTGAGCTCATTATTCAAACATTATAATAAAGGTAAGTTAAGATTCATAAATATTTCCCTTAATTAATATACTCGTACCTACTTACTAAACTATTTCATTTATTAAATCTCAAGGTTCGCAAAAATGGCGGCCATCTGTTTTGCTCGTCAAGGAAGATCTCTTCGTATTTGAAGACGTCACTCAGCTTGGTTACAAAATGCCTCACAATCGCGATACATTTACATTAGAACAAGTCATAGCCTTTGTTGAAACTATTGCCATATTTCACGCACAATCCTACGTATACGAAGAGAAGAAAAGTAAGGAACTGAGAAGACCCTATAGAATTTGGGAAGACTATTGTGATTATCTTCAAGAACCAGCAAAAGGGAAGTGTTGGCGAAACGCTGGTAGAGACGCTGTGATCGAATTTTTGAAGGTATATTCTAAGTATAAAGAATATCCAAACTTTCTCCAAAACATTGAAGAGGCAATAACAAAAGTGTTTGAAAAGGCATCCTTTCTTATGCGCCCTCATCCTGTCTACAGGAATGTCGTTGTCCACCGAGACTTGTGGACTAACAACATTCTCTTCAAAAACACAGATCATGGCAAATGTCACGCGCTAATTGTAGACTTCCAAACGGTGTTGTATGCCCCACCAATGATCGACCTGTCTTCATTCATATACTTTACTACTACGAGGAATTTTCGGGAAAAATACCTGACGGACATCATAGACCTGTATTACAGTACTTTGTCTAAAGAATTGAAAAAATTATCTATAGATGTTGATAAAATAATGGATCGCGACTCATTAGAGAAGTGTTATGAGGAAAATGTTGCTTTTGGAATAACACAAGCTGCAATAATCGTGCCTATAACAGTCATGGACTCAAGAATGAGAGAGAAAATCTTCAGTGATCCTGAAACGGCGTATCGCGTCAACGAGGTGTCGCGAAGTTCTGAGATTCTTGAAATGGCGAAAACTGATGAAGTTTACCTCACACGCGTGTCTGAATTATTAGATGAGATAGTTGAACGATACATGTTTGATACTAAAACAAACTGTAATTATATTTCTAGTGTGAATAATGCCTGATAACACGTGTAAATATAGTAAATAGTTACTAGCTTATGAGATAGCACAATACTACTCAGGTAACTTAAAAATAACTCATTCATTCCCGTTTCTTATAACTTATAACTCCACACCACAGATAAACTGTCATCTTAACCAATTAGCCATTATTCTAATTCAGTGGTTCAAATTATGTTCCTTGGCGTACCCTTAGAATCACGTAAGCCCAGTTCTGTCGAGATAATAGTGAGCAAATAAGTGAAGGCACATAGTGACATATTACGCTTATCTCTGTAACATCAGTTTACTTAAATACATTGACTAAAAACTCTTTTGTTCTTATTTATATCATTGTAATTTGCACCTACCACATAGGGAGCATTGTTTGTTTAGTATCGTTTGATATAATTATTACTTTTATTTGCAGTCGGCAGTGAAGTTATGATAAGGTAATGTCTATTTACTCATTTTATAACGGGAGATGTATGTGCTTAACGTTACTGATATTTATTTATGATTATAATTATAGATAAAGTAGTGAGAATAAAAAAGTCATTAGTTCATTGTTCTCTTAGCAGTGTAAGAGCAAGGTGTACTTTGTTTTATTAAAATGGAAACAGTTACAAACGGTAGTCTACATTACATAAAGGACGAAGACGTTAAGTTGATTATTGCAAAATATGGATATAGTTCTGATGAAGTTTGTATAGACAACTTCGTTACACATAATGCTTGTAACAACATGTTGGGCTTCTTGGCCGACTATTGGAGACTGAAAGTGAACATAATCCTCAAAAATGGCCACAAGGAAACTCTGTCTTTCTTTATTAAAGCTGTGTCGAGAACAAATGCTGCTAAAGCCGTTATGGTCAGAGAGTTGAAGTTATTTCAGAAGGAAACCTTTTTCTATAACGTTCTTAAAGACAGGATGGAAGTCTCGGGTAAGCAAATTCATAATTTTATGTTTCATGCGAATCGTTTAATACCGTTGTACATAAGATAAGATCTTAGAAGTGCAATAAAATTACTATTGCAGGTTTGAAGCCGTGGTGTGCTAGATTTATAACTTCCTTGGACGAAGCTATTGTGCTTGAAGATTTAAGTGCATTACAATATCGATCACGAGACAAATTTCTAAGATTCGACATTCATCACACATTACAAGCGTTGGAAACGTTAGCACGATTTCATGCTTCTTCAATAATATTGGAGGAGAAAAAAACTAAAATACTCGGCCGACCTTACGTTATCCAGGAAGAGTACGAGCAGTTCTTGGATAGAGGTGGTTATAAGGAGGATGACACTTGGTTTCAACAGTGCCGAGTTGGAGCGTTAGAAGCCCTCAAAACTTTCTCCAAACACAGTGCAAACGAAGACAATATAAAACTTATTGAAAGCCGTTGGAACAAAGTATGGTGCTCAGCGTTATCTCTCAGCGATTTCTCTCCTAAACATCGAAATGTGATTTGCCATCGTGATTTATGGAACAATAATATTTTGTTCAGATATAAGAAAGATAGAGATGGTCTTATACCCGACGATTGCGTTTTGGTCGACTTCCAAGCTGTCCGATGCCAGCCCCCAGCGGGTGACGTCATGCTTCTTCTATACAGCAATTTGGACTCAAAACTCCGCGAAGAGAACATGCAATTGTTTCTGAATCATTACTATATTGAACTTAAATTATGCCTCGCAAGTTCGGACTTGGACTTTGAAGATATTATACCCAAAGCTCAGTTTTTGGAGTCAGCTGAAGAGCAAAGACTATGGGCGAACATCGTAAATGCTTGCTTACTGCCGCTGTTTTGGATTAATGACGATTTGACGACCGAAATTTTCACTGATGCAGCTCAGTTTAATGATATCCTCACAAATGATAAAGGTGCGTTCATTAAGAAAATGATGGAGACGAATCAGGACTATAAGGAAAAGGTCACGGAGATGCTAGATGAGATAGTTGAAAGATACTGTTTGAAAGACTGTGATTAAAGTAAAATTATGTTTTTATTAATATTTCATATCACAACAAAGAACTACAATCAGAAAAACCATGACAGGACATGGCGTGCGATAAGAATCAAACGTTTATTATTTGTTTTACGAATAGTGCACGAACCTAAAATCTAAACAACTTTTGGTAATTATCATTAACAAACGAATGTTTTTACGTGTTAATTTGCTCGATTTTCTCCTGTTGTGTCTTTGTCTTGTAACTCCAGTCGAGATTCGGAACGAATTTGTTGTCCTCAAGCTTCCTTGTGCCAAACTTTCTGTACCAGGGATCGTCGTTGCGTTGGCTGTACACATCGCAAAACGGTCTAAACAGCAAAATGTAGAATAACTCTACAAAGCTCAGAATACTTGCGCCCAAGAAAAGACCCCATGTGCCTCCTGTAGATACTGAAATATCAAATAAATTTTCAAAATTATGTTTTCTTTTACTACGCAGTTTTGATGGCTTCTTATTTGTAAACGCACCCTTTGATTGAGTGATCGAATATCGTGAGATAAATAATATTTGAATTGAGCTATATTTGATCAATCTATTTCCCCCTTATTACAAAAAGTTAGACTCAGTTTGAACTCTGGTTTAAATTGACATTTAGTATGGAAATGTCATTTTAAACCAGAGTTCGTCCCGGGTTTAGTAACTTTTTTGTAATAAGGCCCTTTGAGTTTAATTAGTTGGGATAAGAACCAGTAGAACTTTAAACACTTAAATGTAATTAACGACCTGTTGCTATATGTTTAAAAAAGAATTTTGATTACCCTATCTATCAAATGAATTAATATCGTATTGGTTTGACAGAGTCTTAAGAAATTGCTTTAGTAAATAAGGGACAGGTGAAAATAAAGGTCCTAACTAACTAACTCTACAATAAGTAGTCGTCTGTCGTAGCAATATCACATAAACTAGAAGTCCATACTTCTTTGGTCTATTTTTCAGCGTGAACCAAAGAGCTTTTTAAAAACAGAGATGATGATGGATCAAATGTGCACCCTATTCCTTACCAACTAAGTCCAAGGCCCCGCGCACAACGTTTCTCTTGTACTTCTCGCTTGGTAACATGGCCAGGCCTATTTCCACTGTAGCGAAGTTCTCAGAAGTGGTGGTCTTGAAGTCCTTCACGATGGTTATCTCCGCCTCAGTACAAGATGGCAAGCAGTTGCAGTATAAACCGGCGCGGGATGACCATTTCGCTTTCAGAACCTGAATTTATTGAAAAAAAAAAATTATCGATTTATCAATATCAGTAAAAAGGTTTCTCTTAACTTTCTGATCCATAAAGGTCACAATATTTCGGCACAGTTTCTTCGTTTGACCGATAGTAGTTATTAATCACGGCCAGACAAAATGTGAACTTTGAATAAAAGTTATCGAAAGATTAGTAGGTAAATAAACATGAAAGACGTTAATTAGAACGGAATCTACTCACAGACAGAATGTTGACTTGGTCATTCAGGCATATGACACCAGAGACGTTGCATTTCTGATGGTCCGGCACTTTAGGCATAAAAAAGTTCGTGCAGTTACAGACTCGTAACTGTGCATTTTTCCTGCACTGCACTGTACAGGCAGTGTATGAGTAGTGGCGGTATACATCAAGAGAATTCTCGTCAGTGTACCGACATTTTCGTTTTTCTGGAGCGATGAGGCGAGCGCTCGCGTCGTTGTCAATGTTGCGTATTGTGATTAGACGTCTAAAAATAAAATTTTTGTTTGAAGAATATAAATTAAATAGTTTCAGTGCTTTGAAACAATCCATTGTCAGTTTCAGATATGGTTTTGTGAGGTTTTCAATCGGAACTATTAACAAGCAATGAAGTTTTAACCACCTTTGCGTCATTTCTGGGCCAATGGACATGACGTCAGAGCTCATGGTGGTGAGTGAAGGGACGTCCTCCTCGTTGAGTACGTAGATGTTGGCTGTCACCATCAAGTCGAATTTTATCATCCCAGGTCCTGTAGTTCTATTACTGATCATCGGCAGTTTTGGAGGATTCTTTTCTCTAGAATCACAAGTTAATTTGTTCTAAGTAGAACAGCAGCTGGAGACACCACTCCAAAAGGAGTTTAGCTCATAGTTACTTATTTTGATAAGCGATAATAGAACTTATTACCTTCCTTGAATCGTATTAATAGCATAGCACCTGCCGAGTTCGGTATCCATAGGTCTAAAGTAATCGCAACACCGAAACCTGCGTCCATTCCATGAGCAGTTCGTAAGCGTGTCTTCACATTTACTTCTGACCTTAATTTGTACAAATAAATATATTCTTTATAAGTTTTATACAGCACTATCTATCAAAAGTAACATACAATCTTAATTATTAATATCTTACCATGTTAGCGTATTGAATAAGATTGCTCTGAGGACAGTCCGGCAGAGGATTTTCCAGTCCACAAAATTCAGAAGTATAATATGTTATGCCCTTAAAATATGCCAGTTCTTTCAGTACTTCCTCCATATTGAAATCGTGTTCTGTTCCCCATAACCTAAGTTCAAATCAACTTATTTAAAACTATTAGCGATTGATTGAATTCACAAATCCGTCTCATACATCTATGTAACTAACTTACTCATCTGATATTTCTTCGATACGTTTGGTGTTGTCGTTTTCGCAGACGGCTACCGATGGAAACTCGGTATTCCAATCTTTGTATGTGGTCTCCACCACGAAAGAAATCGGATTGTTTTGGAACGCATCATATTGAGCCACAATCAATAGAAAAGACGCATACCAAGACAGTGCTACGAAGAGCAACCAGAAAATCCTAAAATAACAAATGAATGTAGTAAATTTTCGTTTCGAGTAAAATAGGTAGGTATTGTTAGTCATTTGTTTTTTTACCTTTCGGTCCAATGTCTTTTGGTGTCAGCCACAAACCTAAAGCCATGAATGGACGTAGTTTCTGGCAAACTTTTTATACCATTCCACCATATCTCTACAGACCTCTTAAAAGATTCCTTTGACGACATGACGCACTCATGAGGTAAATAAAAAAAACGGACCACATTATTGCTATGCTCTTTATTTATATGAAGGGTTTCGTGTCATACATAATAGTTACAAACAGCTTACGATAATGAACAAATGTCCAGTGAAATCTAATAGAGATCCTAATCACAATGAGAACTGAACAGGTGTTTTGATTATTTGTGCCGATTGTGTTTTATTGCGACTAATATTTCGTTATTATCCTCGAACAATACATTTTACTATAGAAAACACAACTTTGGTTCATAATTCGTGCTACACGAAATCTAAAGTACCTAAATTACATGTGCCCAAAATCTCTGTTGTCTTTACTACTCTGCACATTGGTCCCTCTGAGTTCGTTCCAATAAATCGGTCTGTATCTGCTAATGTTCTTTTCGAATTGAGCAGGAGTGGGTCTGTCGAAGGTAACTTTGCGATTCTTCTTCCTACGGGACTCTACTTCGCGGAAGAGTTTCACGGTGAAGAAGTAGATGAATTCCAGGACCGATACGAAACTAAAGCCTGTCAGGAAACCACACGTTGATCCTATATTACCTGTAACAAGCAAAAGCAAATAATATTGTGGTGATAATTTGTAATTAATAATTTTGTTCTGTAACTTAGAAAATGTATTATTCTATAGAAAATTATGTTCTGTCGTTTGATCCAAAAAGACGTTTTCTGCTGGACATAAGCCTCCCGCTACCTTTACCACATCGACAGCCCACTGAGTGGCAGGTCAATCTGCACTGTTTTTCAATTCGTAACCGCCACTCGAGAACTTTTCTGCTAGTTTCTGTATCCATTTAAAACTGTATCTTTTTTTGATTACTTTGGATTCCTATTGAAAATTGTTAAGTCTGCTTAGTTGTACGTATTAATAGTAGGTAGGTAATACATACTGATCAAATCGAACCACTTCATGATAACGTTTTGGCCGTAGCAGTCGGCGACTTCCCTCCCGTACTTGACGTGAACTATCGAAGTTCCGGTGTAGTTCGCGCCTTGTCTGCAATACACACAACAATACTAAGGCTGAGTTGCACCATCTTACTTAAACTTTGACAAACGTCAAAAGTCTGTCTCCTCCATACAAAAAGAACCGGTTATTGTTATTTTTACTGTCAAAGTTAGGTGGTGCAACTCTGCCTAAGTTATACCAGTTATACGGTTACTTTGCATGACAATTTATGCCCATGTTTTGTCTCGCAGCTTTGTTCTAACTTAGAATGTTAGCATGGTTCAGAACTAGCAAGTTTTGTCCTGGAATGGTCGTATCGTAAAACAAGTCGTAATCCAATCTAAAGCATATGTAGGTAATACGACTTTGTAGTTCATAAACTACAGTGTTATTTACTCTAAAACTGTGGGTATTTAATGTAATCAACGATCGTTTATCGAACTCTATAAAACTCTACCTACCCCTAAGAAAACAATTTTAATAGCATGACGCATAACATAACTAGATCCATAAAATTGAAAAATATGTCCAACTTCCAATCCAATGAATGCAATAAAACGGGAAAAGTTACGCGCGGGGAAACTCTGCTTCGTTACAAAGTTGTTTGCTAGTTCCATGACAACCTCTACAGTAGAACCTTTGTGTGCCCACCGAGCCGATGCCTTTTGTTTATACGAAACAAAATGACAAAAATGTGAAATTGTGTCTGTCGGATTTTATAAAATTGCTANAATTGCTTAGCTTTCCGTATTTTATAACATGGCCACCGTCAACAAGAAAGCGGGGCTTACGACCGCTGATTTCGAAGTGTTCGGCAAGGTGCAAGGTGTTTACTTTAGGAAACACACCCAAAGGAAGGCAACCGAACTTGGATTGAAAGGATGGGTGATGAATACAGCTCAAGGAACCGTTATTGGGCAACTGCAGGGACCCCAAGGAGCTATCGAGGATATGAAGGCGTGGTTGCAAAAGGTGGGAAGTCCCAAGTCGAAGATCGAGAAAGCAGCGTTCCGTAATGAGGGACCTATCAACAGCTGTGCGTTTAGAACTTTCGAAATCCGGCGATAAACCGCTAGTTTTGTATTATGTATTATTTAATATAAAACTTTACCTATATAGGAAATTGGTTTACTTATTATTTATCTTATTCTCTTTAAAAACATTAATAATTGCAAAGTTATGAAATGTCTCCTAAAAATCATATCTTTTTAGCTTCCTTACACAGACTTTGCTGTTGAGAGTGATCTAGTCTTAATAGGTACTCGCAGAAAGTCGATCATGATCGTGAATCACTCAATGATGAAATGCGAAGTGGCAGTTTGAGGAAGAAAACCCCTATCAAAAACTAGGAAAAGGCTTAGGGAAAAAGGGTCTTACAGCCAATCGTCTCTGTCGCTATCTGGAACACTGTTGAGCATCTCCGGGTATATGTTGATATTGTTGAAGTAATAATTGTAGGCTGTCTTCGAGCAGGTTGGGTAGCACATGGGGCAGTTTATCCCTCCACCCACATTGTCCAGCTCCAGCTCTGGGGGAACCACTTCCACGTTTGGGCGGACTGTTATTGACTGAGCTGAAAATTAAACATTTCTGATCATGTTCTTTTTGTTTTAAGATTTAATTTATTATGAAATGTGACTCTCATCCATTTAGCACTCAACAATATATCAGGATACAAAAGGTGAATTTAATACCTTAGAGCATTATCTTTCAGTCAACCTTTATTCACTTCACAAAGGAAACCAAGAGTTTCCACCGCAACCACTCCTACGCTGCCCGCATTTAGGCACGAAGAAGAGGAAGACTTAGTGTACCCAGGCCTCCCACTCGTTGAACCAACGCAACGACCTGGTTGACCTGGTGAAGGTCGTGGGCAACGCGTGGATGTCCTTATCACTTTAAAAATTAAAATTACCTAGTGTCTCTACTCACCATAGTACATCCTCAAGCAAGCCACATCCCTCATATCGCAGGTCCGAGCATGTATCATCTTGGGCATATTAAAGGGGGTGCAATTACAATTCTCCAGGAGGAACAGCATGCGGCACTTCAGCATGCAGTCGCTATGGGTGTAGAAAGGAAGGTACGGAGACTCGTCGTAGAAGAGACACTGGCGCAGCTTCACTGGCACGTGCTGAATGTCCCTGGACGCTTCCGTGAAGCTGGCTGTTACTAACACCCACATCTGAAGGCATTTTATTAGGTAAGTGTAATTTAAAGTAGTTATAAAGTTTTGTTATTATGAAAATAATATGACCTTCGTTCCCACCGTTGCAACTCTTGTGAGTCCTGTGTAGCCTCATCTTGACCGCTAATAAAAACCCAACCAATTAAGCCGCAACGAAATTAATCAGAAGAACATACTAGGAGGAGTTCTTTGTATGAAAGTAAAATTCAATAAGTCTGATAGGTGTGGATGAAAAGAACTCTATCTACTTTCACTTGCTAAATCTATCTTACCTTATCTATCTTATCTCAGTAGCAGTCTATCTTTAGGTTGAATAAATGATCTGATGATGCTCTTAAATACAGAAATACCCGCATAGGTATATCTTAGATAAATCAATACCTTCCTCGCAATCAATGAAATCTTTGAAACCTACCTAAGTAAAGACGGACAACCTTAATCAAATCTAAACAGTAAACATGTCTCCCGATACAGTGTCTATTGAATTTAGAGGGTATCTAATAAGACAATACATTGATTCTAGGTGAGTAGGCTACCCTTCACGGTGTGCGGGTGTTTGTTTACTCATACGAGCAGTTTTCCACGTTAGTGAGCAGGGTCCTTCGTAGGTATTTCAGGACTTGATAGATTATAGTACCTACACGTATTCTATTTTGTTAAGTATCGTCTGATCTGAAGCAGGTATAACTCATAGCGCATGCTAGTAATAGGTAAATTGAGATTTATTTGGAGGAAGAGCAATAAAAAATACAATATCATTACAAAAATATTGGTATGAGATCTGAAATCTGAAAACATTACCTGGACACTGGGATTTATGATTTGCATCGCAAAACTACCACTTGGCGCATCAGGAAAGTCATAGGCGTCCGAAAATTGCAACTGAAATTAAATTAATTTGTTATTATGAAAACTGAAATTGTTGGGCACGAAAATTTCAAGTAGAACCAGTAGAACCCTCGTCATCGTATCGTTAGTCTTTAAACTTAACTAAGCTAAATTGGTAGGGAAAATAAAGGTTTCAAGTTGCAAAAAGAGGAAACCTGAATGGTTTTTGTTTCAAAAAACTTATTTTTCTCTATTTTCAGTCTTTAAATTCATGTTTTCTACCTGAGCTCCTTGCAAAGGCATATTGTAATAAAAATCATCGCTTTCGGTTAGTCTCAGCAGAACCTTCAGCCCCAGATCGAAGTCGAATGATGATTTATTACCATATTGATACATGTTGATACTTCGTGTAGAGTTTGTTGCACTGAAATGTGGAATACGTAATTTATTAAATTAAATGTTGTCAAACGTAGTGTAACTAATCTAAAATCTACAGTGTGCGTGTGAACATACAACCTAAAAGGTTTATTTTATTTAATTATTTTCTTCATCTTGTTTAAAAATAACTGCAGTAAGGCAAATAATATAAATATAGCTGACGAAGCAACCAAGTACTAGACTCGCCTGTATTCACAAACGAAGCTTGCTTAAGTGAAGCAGCAAATCGAACGCACAGTGTTGAATAGAGCTCTGTGATTAGTTCGTGTATCACCCTGTGCGTCCACGCGCACTTTGAGACCTCATAGTGGTTTGTGAATAAGGTTAGTAACGTAAGTTTAGTATAATGAGAAGTGTATGTGACTAAGTTTACAAAGTAATGAAAATATACCGAACTCTTTAAAAAATATATCAGAATGCCTCAAGTAGTTGAAAGTGCAGCAGTAGCCGTTCATCGTGAGGCGGAAGTCGAACAGTTCCGAGCAGTTCTTCGGGATCTCGTTCCAGGCGCATCTGACCAAGATATCTTCGCACTTGGGAGTTAGCTGTAGATAAATACCTACATATAAAACTGTCACTCTATTTTACACCGCACGAAACATGTAATTACTGAAAACGAAGTCAAAAAGTCCTACACGACAATAAAGGCTTTCTGTCTCTACAATAAAAAGTTATAATCACCAAAGGAATATCTAAAGTAGCTACTAAGTAGCTACCATTTTTATTTTATGCCCTAATATTGTCAAAAAATATCTAAGCTTTGCTGTGGTAGGTATCTAAGTAGTCCTGATAAAATATAACTTATTTAGTTACGTTTCAAACTAGTGAACGTAAAATATTATGTTACTTTTGACCCTGTTATTTTACTCTAGTTATAATGTTACAGTTATTACTCTTAAGTTTCTTTTCGTGATCAATTATTATTTACTAATACTCTATTTAACCACTCCTACGTGTTATGTAGAGACACACCTATTAAAATGTTCCATCCTCATCGCATCTCGTTAGTGTAAAACCTCTCTATTTTAATATCAGACGATTTTTAGATAACTTTACAAACCAAATAAAAAATTGTACTTTGAAAACTCACATTTCTAAGTAAAGTATTGACGTCATAATTTCCCAAAGATTCGTGTAATTGAAGAGGAGTATATTCCTTGTTCTCGATCGCGAAGTCGTACAGTTGGCCCAAACCAAACAACATTGATAGCATTTGTTTTTCCGTATAGTTCTTGTTTCTTTCTTCCTTGAGTCTAGAAAAGTTGTGACATAAATTCGTAATACGAAATTAATTAGGATATAAAATGTGTAAATATTTCGCTGGCATAGCGTCATATGCAATAATTACTCGTATTAAAACCACATAACATGCCACAGTGATCAGATTGATGTGTTGTCGACCATTCATAAATAATCTACTTAAAGGCTTTTGAAAGAACACGTACAAGTTTTTTGCAAGTTCTTCTACGGCTCGTTTACTTATCCTGTTGTTGGAGCAAATACCAACTGCTGGGAAGATTATCTTATTTACGGATACCCCTTCAGGCAGTTGGGTGGTCACCAAAGGAGCCCAGTGGTACTTCATGAACGTCATCCAGACCAAAGACACGGAACCAGCCAGCGCACCAATTAGGGTAATTTTCCAGATGATTCTGCGAAATGTAACAATGTATCGTAACAACAATCATTTCTCTTGCGCGATTAATTGATGTGAACGCGAAAAACACTCAAATTGTTTTGCAGCTCGAGTGATATAACATCTAGCGTTAGGTAATACGGACTGATTTACGGCGTAATTGCAACAAACAAGTCTAGTAATCCTCTGGACAAGTTCACTCTACGAGTGACCAATTTCTCGTAACTAGTTTGTGAGAGAATTGCGTACCTTTCGATGTAGGGAGTGTTCTCGTTTACGAGATGTTTGAGACCGCAGATGGACGACTCGGTACAATACTCTTTGCTTATTGTTTTAAAACTCTCTTTTACAATTTGAACCTTCGACGGTTCCTTTTTCCTTTGGTAGCGCCTGTACGCGTAATATGGAGAGTTAGACGCAAAGCCCTCCATATTGGCCTGTTTATTTAGTCTAGTGCTGTAGCAAACTGATCAAAATCTGAGTGTTAAGAGCACCCTTCGTACAGCTACAAATGACTGTTGTTAAATATTCTATTTCGTGATAGCATCAAACATCGACATACGGTTAATTGCTGTGATTGATCGTTTCTTCTCGTGTTTTATTCTATTGCTTTATTTACTCTGGCTAGCGTTTATAATTGAAACTGAAAATACTAGACGAACTTATTTTTTATTAAAGAATCATGAAACAATGAAAAGGGAAACTTTATGGACATTTCTTCATTATTGTGAAACATCTTTTGTTTTCATTCTTTTGTGCTTTCACAACATTTCTACTTACTTTTGATGTGATTAGAATTTGAAGGTATTACTATTACTTATTGTGGAAAGTTCATACTTATAAACTGTGTTTAAATAACTCTAAAACATTTTGAGTGTATGTCTACGTTTTAATACAAAACGTAAATTGCCCTATACTTAGATCTTAATTCCAGCTACTGCGTCAAATCATAGCATATAGACTGACGATGTCGTCATTAAATTTTCAAAAAAATTCAGCAATAGCCAAAAGATGCGTCCAATCTAATTTATTTCTACCTTTGTGTTAACTTCCGTGTAAGCCGGGCCTAACAACGTGGAATACTCGTGGAGTGGAAAGGTAAGATCACATGACCAGCCGGCTTGCAACGCTTGCAACACCGCGCATTACCAAACTATCTGATTCTGACCATCTCCGACACTACTCGCATTCACTTGTGTTACACACCGTACCTACCTACTTGGTAGTTATGTGTTCTCGTAAGATTTGTGATACGGGATTTATTACGATAAGACTATTGTGGTGAGAGTTTTAGTCTTGCTTCTCGAATCGAAAGACGATTCAGACGTCGATACATAAATAACACATAGCAAATTGCTCGAATGTATCAATCCAGTCAGTAATAAATAATTCCGAGTTATACCAACTTACACCTTCCCCCTTTATCTCAAACAAAGTCTTCTCCCTGGCTTGTCTGGAGATACCGCCTTTTAGCGATAAGACCGCCTTAATTTTTTTTTGGCCATTCAATTCTGTATTTACTTTTATTTGACAGTTACGTGTGATGTGCAATAAAAATCTATTTATCCGTGCATTAGAAAAGTGATCAAAAGTGGATAATTCCGCGCACGCGCCGGAATGTGTCATATACCTACCTGTGTCATTTGAAAGCATAGTACGTTACGTCTAAGCATTGTTGGTTAGGTAGTGAGACCTATGATTCACATATTGATTTATAGACCGTGCAATAATTAAAACTTAATTTGATTACTTTGAAAACTTAAATTGATGTGTGGCTTATATTGTAGCGAAAAAAAGCATTCGCAATATTTTACATACCGTGTTTTGATTAATATTGGCTAATCAATAAATAATGTTCACACTCTTTACGATAAGTCCAAATTGCAATGAGTAGTTATTCAATTAATGTTATGTATCAACACAATAGTATTGAGCTTCAGATGTAAAGTTTTTACGATTCACAATGATCAGGCACAATTTACTTCAACACTACATATACAACAAGGCTTAGATTGGGTAATGGACTTTGGACATTGTGAGCGGGATGTGCAAAGTCCAAATTCCAATCGCAATGTCCAAAGTCCAATCATTGACCTAATGCTGCCCGTCTATAAATGGCGAACGTGCAAGACTGTTACGTGAGCAACGCATAATATTGCAGTTTCTGGCTGACGATAATCCGCATCCCATCTTAGAACCAGTTGATAGAGAGGCTGCAGCCTTTCCCCTGGTACAGTCCGTCCAAAAATTGGCTAACTTTCAAACAATCATTGACTCATTACACTTGAAAATTTCGACGGGTTCATCCAGTGTCTAAGTAGCTCAGTTGGAAGAGCAGTCGCCCGGCAAGCGGAAGGTCGTGGGTTCAATTCCCGCCTTAGGCAGTTCGATTTTTTCAAGTTATGTATAATTTTCAAATCATTGACTCGTCTAAAAAGACGTGTATGTACGTTATAAGGAAAGACTCTTTTGATCTGGCATACAGTCCTGGGTGTGATTCCCGTGTAGGATACAAACTGAAAAATCCCTTATGTAATTACGAGTTATACCCTATTGGGGTTCGATATTTCAGCGTTGTTATTTGAGCGATGCTCAATCGCCTATAACGGAGTCTTACGTCACAGTCATCTTCATTAGACCTATTTTGAATGCGAAGTAACATGGAGTAACATTTCAGATTTTTTTATGTAAATCTTTACAAATACGATAGTGTCTATTGACGATGACTGTACTACTGTCTATTCAGTCACGTGGATTTGCGTAAACTAATCGGTATTAGTCTACATTATCTAGATCATAATTCATAACACCACTCCTTTGTTGTTGTAAGATGCCATGTCAAGCTATTGAATGAAGAAGACTGAGTAAAGAGACTATAATCTACCTACAACCCTCCAAAATTGCTGATAAGTATTTGTACATAAACAAATAATGCGTGGTACACATAATCATTGAATAATGATACCAAGGGCCGTCCCTTTACTGTTTATGGAGCTCGTTTGCATTTATCTCAGACATGCATGGTCAGTCAGTCAGCTTGGGACGCCATGACAGCTACGTTGCTGACTCAACCATGTTTATGTCGGTCTATATGGAATTGCTGACTGAAAACCTTTAGGGTATGGTCATCAGAGTAATATAATTCTAAGTAATATTTTAGATGTATTTTCATGGATAATGCCACCACTATGAATAAAATGCAGTCAGAAGCACATAGCTCTACAATTTGCCTTGGTTTTTATATCAGCACATTAGTGTCAAAAATTATGCTAAATTATTTATTTATAGACACAATGAAAGTGATTAGGTAAGCTCTCATCATTTTAACATACTTAATATCTTGTATAATGTGGCTATTGAATTACAGAAAAAATAAACTAATAAATCTGAAAACTTTCAGAATTATGTAAGAAATTAAGGAAGTAAAACAAGAGTATATTATAAAGTGATAGTGATTCTAAAAAAAAAATATGTCGTCACAAATTACATTTTAACGTGTCTAGGCCTACCAGGTACTTACTGAAGACAATTTTATAGCAGCGAGTAGAACATAAACACTTCAAATGCTCATTAAGCAAAACCCCAAAACTTTATGTTGCACAGTTCATCGTCACGATTGCCAAAAGCATCTCATGTGACGATAGTAAACAACTGCTCCAACCGATGTTGCCTTTGCAACATTGTCGGTGGTGGTGGCCGCGCGCCGCTCTCTTCGCCTCGGATCCGCACCAAACCGTGCGCGGACGCAATTCAAATTAACTGCATCCAAGGATACGCCGCACATTTGTTAATGATAACAAAAAATTCGACCACAACCGTTTTGCCTTTTGTGTGGACTGACGTTTTGGTTTAGTGGTGTGTGTGTTTTTTTTGTGGTGGTTGAACAAGTGCGTTACGGATTTCCTTGTGTTCTAAAATAAACGGTAAGTTACATTTTCTTGTTACGAATATGCAGTTGTATTCTTATACAATAAATTTTATTATCGCTCCATACCCGCGACCATGACAACGCTATCCACGTTATTAATAAAAAGTTACACAGTATGAACTCTGGATTAAAATTACATTTCCATACCAAATGATATAATTTAAGACAGAGTTCAACTAGGGTGTTACTTTTATTAATCTTACTTTATAAATGCGAAAAGTATGGATGTCTGGATGTCAACATGTTTGTTACTTTTTCACGCAGATTTTGATAAAACTTTACAGTGTTATTGTTTATAACCCAGAATAACATATTATAAGTTATAATTTATGACGATCTGCGACAGACTAAATTTCACGCGGGTGAAGCCGCAGGCAAAAGCTAGTAAGGGTATAATAATAATAGAGTTTTTAAATAGTACCTACCTACCCAAAAGTACAGTACAGTATCATCGTTAATTTTAAAATCCGATCAGTTACTATTTGTATGGTGAAGTGAATTTCTTTAAAGGCTCGATAATAGTCAGAATTTATTTATGCACCATTTTTTCGATATCTTTCAACGTGTGGACCTAAAGTAATTTGAAAATTAAATTTGTAATTATAGTATTATGAATAAACTCGCCAAAATAGAAATTATTTATTTATTTAAGGACTTTATTGCACACACAATGATCAGTACAAAAAGGCGAGCTTAATGCCAAGTCTAAGTTAAGTATCATAATAACTAGCACGAATCGTGTATAGGTATTTCATGCATTTGAAAGTGGTGTAAGATTTTAACATATTGATTCATATAATATTACCAAACGATGTCGCTGTTATAAGTAATATTGAATGCACATAAGCAGGTAGTTATGTAAAATATCCAGTTAAAAAGCTTGCAAAATCCAAGTTTTCACCTATCTAATATTTAACCGTCTCTTTATTGCTTTCATCTATATGTTAAGTAGATCTAAAACAAATTAAATACCTAATAACATAAATAATGAGTTTTGAAACAAATCCATAACTTTAGCATCCACATTCAATTCAGTCGAATTAAGTGCAGATTGCTTAATAAATAGATAATTTGCTCTACATTATGTTATTTACTAATTACATACATTTTATCATATCCAAAGTGCCTCGAGGAAGAAGTTTATAAGAACGTTCTCGAGCATTGACCAATGTTATTATAATAACGCGCGGGAGTTTGAAAGTCCGTTTGTTTGGCCTTGCGCGTGCGCATTGTCCGGTCTAAGCGCAAGCATTTCCCATCTGCGAATCAGGTCAAGTGTAAGATGAGTTTGCTAATCGGTTTTGTGCCTCTATTGTTTTAAAATATGATAATTTTATTTGAATTTTAGAACTTCTTATGAAAGCTTCTTTGAGAAGCTTTTATTAGATAAGACGTTTAACTCTGAATTAATTAAAGATAATGAAATACTCAACTAATATGAACCTATGATGATTCACTGTACGAGTAGTATATTATTTAAATCTTAAAACTTCTAATTATGAAAGCTCTTTGAGAATACTTAACTATACGATGTATGTCCTTATCACCTGCCCTTTTGAGATCGCGGTCTCAAGAGACCGTGGAACCCTCCTACCTAGGAGGATTCCACGAGCTAGAGCACCATAGCTTGTCCTTCAAAAATTGTATCTGACAACATTATTTTATCCATCGTCTTTATCAATGTCCATCAGTACCATAACTAGAGCAGTGTCTAATAATGTTATTACCTTATCAAGCTCTAAGAAGGCTAAATAGTTCTCTGAGATGGGTACAACACTTAAAGATAAATAGGTCAATGCTTCGTCATCCTGCAGTGCAGATAAAATCATCACAATTTGCTGTAATCATGATTATCGTGACTGATTATATCACGATCATCACCGTTTATCTTCAAAATAACTCCTCATAATAAGGGAGAGTCCGCCAATTTGGACCAGTTTTTTTCAATCCCATTTTACACATAGTTTTCTTTTGTTTTTGCTAATGTCCATGGTATATAATAAAAGATACATTATTCAACTTACTATTTCATAAGTATTAATTAACATGATTGTTGTATATTTATCACAAATCAACAAAGTACGAGTTCAGAGCTTCGGTCCAATTTAGCCAACCGGTTCGATAATTTGTACCACAGGGTTACTAAATTGGATTNTAAAACAATTTAAATAATAACATAAATAATGAGTTTTGGAACAAATCCATAACTTTAGCATCCACATTCAATTCAGTCGAATTAAGTGCAGATTGCTTAATAAATAGATAATTGCTCTACTGTATGTTATTTACTAATTATACCTACATTCTTTATCATATCCAAAGTGCTTGGAGGAAGAAGTGTATAAGAACGTTCTCGAACATTGACCAATGTTATTATAATAACGCGCGGGAGTTTGAAAGTCCGTTTGTTTGGCCTTGCGCGTGCGCATTGTCCGGTCTAAGCGCACGCATTTCTCATCTGCGAATCAGGTCAAGTGTAAGATGAGTTTGCTAATCGGTTTTGTGCCTCTATTGTTTTAAAATATGATAATTTTATTTGAATTTTAAAACTTCTTAAGAAAGCTTCTTTGAGAAGCTTTTATTAGATAAGACGTTTAACTCTGAATTAATTAAAGATAATGAAATACTTGACTAATATGGACCTATGATAATTCACTGTACGAGTATTAAATCTTAAAACTTCTAATTATGAAAGCTCTTTGAGAATACTTAACTGTATGATGTAGGTAACAGGGTATTTTTTATCATAGCTGCCCTTTTGTGATCGCGGTCTCATATGACCACTTAGGAGGGTTCCACGAGCTATACCATAGCTTGTCAGTCAACTTATTAACCTTTTAACGAATGCCTTCAAAAATTGAATTTGACATAACATTATTTTATCCCTGGTCTCTATCAATGATCATCAGTAGGTACCATAACTGGAGAAGTGTCTAATAATGTTATTACCTTATCAAGCTCTAAGAAGGCTAAATAGTTCTCTAAGAAGGGTACAACACTTAAAGATAAATAAATAGGTCAATGCTTCGTCATCCTGCAGTGCAGATAAAATCATCACAATTTGCTGTAATCATGATTATCGTGACTGATTATATCACGATCATCACCGTTTATTTTCAAAATAACTCCTCATAATATACCGTTTTAATCTATTATTAACGTTAATAAGTAGGCCTACGTATTTTTAATTAATGCAACAGTAAATGAGCAAGTAGTTACTAAACCTACTTAATTTTTGAATGAAAAAAAGACTACGCCACAACTTTAATAACGTAAACTACTCGTAGGTAGGTAAGGTAGGTACCTAATTGAATTACCAATTAAGCAAAAATAATTATTTTCAGTAAAACAAAGTCTGTAACAAAAATCCTTGGAAATTATTAACAGGAAGCTTGACCAAATCTGAAAAACGTCTTAGGGAAATAAATATTAAGGACTAGCTTTCCGCCCGCGGCTTCGCCCGCGTGGAATTTTTCGGTTTTTTTTTTAACCTATGACACTCAGCAATAATGTGGCTTTCTATTGGTGAAAGAATTTTTATAATCGGTTCTGTAGATCCCGAGATTACCCCTTACAATTTAACAAATATACAAACACAAATTGTACCTCTTTATAATATTAGTATAGATTAATAGGTGTTTATTTATTAAATGTCTATTCAGCAAAAGTATTTATTTTCAAAAGAATACGTTCAATAATTACAGTACCTACTTATAATTTACGATTACGTAAAGTAGCACATTACGAGTATACTGTTTTGAAAGTAATTTGGGCATAGCGATCACAATCTCGATTCAAAATCGAACGTCTAAACACGGCTTATTGTGTGGGAGCATCTTTATACATAGGTACTTTTAGAAGACAATGGCACCGAAGAATTGGTTTTATTTATGTTGGATACCAAACAAAGTCGATTGAAAGTGTCTACTGGGCACGCAAATGTTACTGTGTCAAAATACTAGTAATATGCTAATGCTACACACATCTGTGATTGTTAGGAGTTGTTAATCTTGCACATCAGTTCATAGACGGTAAAAGTCTGCATCAATAACTAATACTGATAATATGATGACGCAATTAGATCTCTATAGGTACAAATAAATCAGCCATAATACGAACGACAAACGAACTTATCCTTGATGTCTTTTCTTAAGTTAATAATTATTATTTATTTATTTATTTATTCAATGTTACCTTTCTTTCTGTAGCTTCGACCGCGATGATCTGTAGGTAACAAACTATAGCGCTGTGTACGGTCAAAATTATTTGTTTTTTTTTTATGAATCATTCAAATAAAAAATTCGTGTTTTTCACTTTTTCTACGAGAAAACGCCTCCTGTTTTACCTATCCTACTCCTAAACAACACTTTCCTCTTTACCCAATTCCACTTACATACAATTTTAAACGTCGTTTACATCTTATTTTATGGTCCTGCTGTAGAACAAACTAGTTTTCTTAGTTAGCAGGAGTTCTCTAATGCATGTTTCTGTCGCCATCTCCAGAGACAAACAACGATGAGATTGATCCTGCTGCTGCTCTCCATCGCAACCCCAGCGTGGTGCTACCCTCCCCACCCAGCTGTCGTGGCAGTTCGTCACCAGGAAGAGACGCTGCCCCCCCACTTGAGAAGCCACGCGCTCCACAACCCCCACTTGCAAGAGATCCTGCCGCTCACCAGCCTGTTACATAAGGGGGAAAAACTGGTAATCTATTTGTTTTTTCTTATCTGTTTTATACTGTACCTACCTGTCGGCCGTTTGGTGTAAAGGTTCGAAACGGACTACTATTCCAGAGGTTGCGGGTTCGATTCCCGCACAGTACAAACATTTGTGTGCATGAACATATTTATTTGTATTGGACTGGGTGTTTTCTATGTATAATATGTATGTATTTACAAAAAAAAGTATTTAAGTATGTTTATATCCGTTGTCTAGTACCCATAGTACAAGCTTTGATTAGTTTGGGACTAGAAGCGCAGTGTAAAATGTCCAAGGATATTTATTTATTTATACTTTGCGTTGAGGAGTTAATTCCGTTAGAGTCAAGCCATATGGTGAAAATCACACTCAGTGATGGATTTATGTTTCCACTCATTAAGTTAATTGAATCAATCAAGCCTACGAATAGTAAACGAATGCAGATCCTTATACTTACTCGTACTACAAATACGAGAGCTCTACCACTACCAATTTGGGACAACATATCGGCTAATGATATGTAAAGGACAAATTGCCGCATGATACATAGCTTTTTATTTATTCATCATCATAATCTCAGCCATAGGACGTCCACCGCTGAACATTGGCCTCCCCCAACCCGATTGGTAGCGGCCTGCGTCCAGCGCTTTCCTTTGCTTTTAGCGCTTTTATTTATTACGGAAAATGATTTTTACGTCAATCCACTTATAATATCCGGTAATTAAAACACTTTAATGAGTCTCGTCTAAGGACAATAGTCTGAAAACATTAAATAAAATGTCTTTAAATATACCTATACTATTATAGGACCTATACCGACGCAAACGTGTACTTACTTACCCAACCTTCGCAATCTAATCATAGTGACTAGTGTCAGTAAAAGAAGCAGCATGGCTCGTGCGTGTAGTCATAACATCTCACTTACCGGAGCGAAGGTAATTATAGCTGTACCTTTTCCATTCATGTGTTACTAAAAAGTCCAAGGCCACCACTTTGAAGACTTGCGCAAGAATTTCATTAAACATTCCATTATCAAGTACGAGTTGAAAGTGGCATACACTTCAAAACTTGTAAGCGTGATTGTAAGAAAATTAACTCACTATTCAGTCCTAACCCACAATGATATTGAACTTCTTCACTAAGAAATATTGGGTCAATAGTTTAACTTTGAGTACTTGATGAATGCTCTTGACACGTTTGTTGTTAAGAATCAAACATTTAGTAGTAGGTACCTAGTATTTTAAGAATTAGAAAAATTTAAAACTAGAGATTGTAAAATCTTAGTAAGTTTTTACTACAGCAAAACTAATCAAACAAAGGTCTCAGTAGTTTTTATGACAAATGTGTTGAGGGTTTAATCCTAATTATCCGGAACCTTCATATTTTTGTTATCTTTCGATACAATTGGTTTACTCACTAGTAACAATTTGTCGTAAAAGTACATCATTCACGTAATACTGACTTGACCCGAAAGATTTAAACGTAGACTGATGGACGTATGTAGATCAGAAACATTTTAACTGAGCTACTTATGCCGAGTTATGTAATAAATAGGAGACAATGGTTAGTCACAAAACACATTATTTAACAAGCTAATTCAGATTGTCGTTATGTGCTAACGCCAAAGAGGTTTTTTAAGCAATATCTGAAAATTGAGTTGAATATGTTGACTCTACAATCCATCAGTTAACTACACGAAAGAATAACTCTGAATCTGAAGTCACAAAATTGCTGCTGTAGGGCGTGCATGAGGTGTTTTCATAGAGCATGTTACGCTGCACTGCAGGACAAGCGTTAAATTTAAGTATTCGTGAGGTACTATAATGTTCTTGTAGTAGAGTAGCATTTAGCGTCTGTAGTTACTATTTGTATACACGTGCACATTAAATCCGCAGTGCAGGCTACATAGTTTAAAGGTGATCCTTTTTTGTGATTCTAGGTATTCCAAAGAGAGGCTGACAATGTCCCCCGCCTGGAAATCTACAAGATCCTGACCCACGCCGGCCTCCTCTCCAGAAAGCCAAAGTATCACCCCATAGCAGGGAGACTGCAGAATCGTCCAATCCCCTATCAAAATGTGGATCATCACTTCTTCGAACCTCCACATTTTGCGCACCCTGAACTATTGCAACATTTATAAGCAAGCGCATAGTTAGTCATATTCTAGTATTAATTTAAGGTTTACTCGCTATTTGAGATTAAAACTCCGATTATTACTTTAGCCAGTGCCAATTTGAGGGCTAAACTTAATACTCTTGAATTACCAAAAGAGTAAAAAGATGTAAATATTCAAGTTTATGTAGGTGATATAATGTATCGGCGGTTGATAGACATGGTTGCCTCCGGGCGTTAAGTTCGCTAGTAAGCTAAACCTGTATTTAGTAGTGCAATAACGAATGTAAAAATGTATATTTAGAATTTAAATTATATTATCAAAATGTTACGACGTTCGAGCTATACTTTTGATGTGCAATATTAAATAAATTTACCTACTACTTTAATAACGCTTTAGAGACAAAAACACTTTTCATAACACATCTTACAAAATAAAATACTTAATTTAAATACAAACATGTAAATAGTTAGTTTAATATTCGTGTTATTTTTGTTGCTACAAAAAGTTTTAAAATGAACAATAAAACTATCATCTAAAATTCTTTGTATGCTTTGTAACCTTCAGCCATTGGCATTCGCGGCTGCATAATCATGACATTGCACAATTATTTATTATTATCGTATCAAATATTCACAACTTTTGCACAACACACGAATTAAAATCCATTTTATGTACAAGCAAGGTTGTAATATTTGTGCTATTAGTCATGAGCTACCTGATAATTCGACGCTTATTTCGTCAGTGTGAAAATTACAGACCACGAAATGCCTACCTGCTCGGATTTCATTAAGGACTACTGTTCAAATTGTACTTTTGCTGGCGTCCATTTTATTGCTGACGATACGAAGCACTGGATTGAAAGGTAAAATCAGCCTTATTCCTTAAAATATAAGGAAAAATATTAATAAACTAAACTAACTCTACCACTAAACCACTATAGGTACTCCTACAGTCTCTACTTAGACTTTATTCCCTTACTAATAAAACTTACACGCTCGTTGAACAGTGTTACAAAGTGACGTTTTGTAACGAAATGACACTTTAAAACAGTGTTCAACAACTGTGTAACTTTTTATTAGTAAGGGGGTATGTTTTTTGCATGATACTCGTACATACCCAAGGGTGAGTTGCACTATCTTTAGTGCAGCTCACCCTTAGCAATGTAGCAGATTTTTGAAATCTGTCAAACTCCATACAAAAAGCACCGGTTATCGTCATAGTTACCGTTAAAGTAAGGTGGTGCAACTCAGCCTAAGTATTATTATAAGTTAAGTAACTACAGGAGTAGATACGACTTTCCTGACGAATAAGGCCGTAATGCATATAGGTAAAGTTGAAATGTTGGCAGATTGGTTTGGTTAGTGCTCGTGATACTGTCATGGTACGGGTCGGCAGTGCTCATCATCGCAGCCTGGGATGCCTTCATCATCAACCCCATCAGCTTTGGCGTGGAGACCACGTACACCGAGTGGAACACTGAAATGCCAACGGTTGCTATCTGCGAGTCGGCCAACGATGATAAAGTTTACAATGTTTCCGACACGTAAGTATACTTATTAGTCAACGCACTTTGAATCGTATCAAAAACAGTTAAAGGTCAACTGAATTGATTGTATTCTAGTATCTGGCCACCTGATCATCTTTTGGACCTTGAAGACGCCCTTAAAGACATCGCTTTCTTCCGTGGTGTCAGCTATAGCCTCATCGAAATCTGTTACAACATGCACGAACCAGACCCTCTCTGCCCAAAGTCAAATTACAGCTATTATGCGAAATTAGTGCGCAGTGACTGCCCTACAATCATCAGGAACTGTTCTTACAACGACAGACCGTTCAGCTGCTGCGAATATTTTCAGCCTCTCGACACTGATTTAGGCCCCTGTTTCATACTGAACTCTATTCAGGTCAAGTAAGTAACTATGGTTTGTGACCTTCTTTGACTTGTTATAGAGTTATTAAATTACAATGTCATAATATTACAGAAACCCAAAACCGTTTCCAATGGTAAGCAACAGGGTGCATAAACGAGGAGTGATCAGATTCCAAATATTAGTCCCAACTACGGTAAGCAATCACAGTAAATAAATTGCACTTACAATTAAAATATCACGGTCAATAGTAATTATTAACACATTAAAATTACAGTTCACCTTGAAAATTTTAGAGCTTCCTTATTACATTACTGCACGATTTTATGATGCAATGAGTGTGTCTTTGAACTTCGCTTATTGGCCATTTAATATTCTAGGTGTATACCATAGGCCCCGAAGAGGTTCCTAGTATCACGACTCTTCAATATTCTACTCTTAAAGTTCATCCTGGTCATAAATATCGGTAAATATTATCTACCATTCTCTCGAAAGCACGTATAATTTGTAAGTACTTTGTCCTTCTGTAGACTGTAGACCTTCTGTATCAATTCCAGGCGCCTGGTAACTGTGAGAAACATCGAGAACGATCCTCTGGTGGTGGAGACGACGTCAAAGCAGCGGGCTTGTCGGTTCTACCACGAGAACGAGGATGGGCTGTACCCTCACTACTCCTACAGCGCCTGCACGGTGCTTTGCCGCAAGCGCGCGCAGATGGAGATATGCCACTGCAACGACCACTTCATGCTGGGCACTAGTGGGTATAGGAACTTAAAAATCACCTATACCTGTAGTCATCGCTTATTATTATTTGGACAGAACCGAGCCTTCTAAATCCAGTCTATAGGTCTAAGGTTAAAATAACGAAAAACTTGACGTTCGCCAGTTATAGCATCTTTCTAGAAATTAGAACCTTCAATACAAACTTAAAAGTAGTCAGCAGGTAGAGGTCAGAGGTCTAGTGACAGTAGCCACTACCTCTTTATTCTGCCCGGTCTTTTCCTAAACTGTAGTTTAAATCCTTCCTCTCCAGTTCTAATTGAGTCCAGTCTCTAACAAATGTTGACTTCGACAGAAACAATACCAACCCTAGAAATCGAAGCTGGAGTTTTAAAATAACCACAACCAGCTTGGCAATCCAATAGATTTTTTTAATACGAGTATAATACACATTTTATTTGCATTGTTTAACTTGTCTGACTAGGTAATCCAATTCATAGTTAGGTATTCATTGAGCCCTACAAATAATGGAAAAGGGCAAAAGCGAAAATGTAGGTTAAGTACATAATTTTATTTTTATCTCTGTGTTCACACTTGAAACAATAGAGATGACAAGATCTTTCTCGAACGTAAAGTACGGGAACATTACATAACAAGATGCACATTGTAGTTGCTTATTACGGTAATAGGTCAACGAAAGAACACGAGAACTCCACTTTTGTGTTAAATGACACTAAATTTTGTATTTACCTAAGAATACTTACCTAACATTTATAGGTAATCAAATCAAAATTTATACTTAGGTAATTTAAAAAACACCTTAGAAAAGAGGCGTATTTTGTTCATATTTTTATGATGACCAGATGGCACAGGGACGCGATTAAATTTAACGCTGTACCTACAATCCACATAGGGACAGTTGGTTGGTATAGAAATTATAAGATTACCTAAGTTTGTATCCGGTCAGTTTATAAAATAATAGGTACACCATTTGTGTCTATGGAAAAACAAACCTAAATCTATAGTTTCTTAACTATCTCCCGTTTATGTCGCGTTAAAAATCTTTCAGCGCCAGCAGAACACTGCAACATATCTGGTATGGCCTGTCTCCATGGCTTGGCGAGCCACCTGACCACACTCAAGCCTCATTGGGCCAGTCGGCCAGGCCTGACTTGTGACTGCCTGCCCTCTTGCAATGAGACAGAGATCACCGTCGTCAAGGATGGCGACACTCCGTAAGATAATTTGTAGCACCTTGTAGCTTGTTGACTTATCTGATTACCGGTCACAAAACTATGCTTTATTGTTATTTTTATCGTGTTAACTGATGACCAAACACAGTAACTATCGTGTTAACTTANTGAACTGATGACCAAACTAGGACATCCTTGTGTTTCAGGGTCGCTTAATATAAACTAAGAATGGGAGGCATTTGACCACTAAAGCATCCAAGAATTTTGCAGTCGCTCTCTATGTTCGCAACGCAATGAATGGAAGAATAGACACTTTATGTAATGTACCTACTTTTTCAGGAACGGGAAAGGCAATAAGAAGAAAGCAGAAATAGAACTAACCTTAGCATATTTGCCAACTGAAAGATTCAAGAGGAACGTAGTACGAAGTCGTTTAGATTTAGTTGGTTAGTAAAGCCATGGTAACTCATTTACCTACAATTCAGGTGTGTAACACATAGAATCTAACATTTAAATATTTCAGTTTCTATAGGTGGCACGACAGGACTCTTCGTTGGAGCCAGCCTTCTAAGTTTTGTGGAGCTGATATTTTACTTCACAATCCGTTTTGCGAACGACATTTGGATGGAGAGGCAAAAACGCAAACCAAATGCAGTGAATAAACTGCAGAATACTGCATCTGGCACGAACATTAAAGTTGAGGATGTAAGTGCTTTGGAGGGAAATCCAAAAGGCCCCTATGAAAACAGTGGAGTGGGAAATTTGAGGTTGTTACTACCTCTGAAATCTAAATAATAATAAATGAAGTGCTCTACATATAAAGAAAAACACTCGTTTCTTGCGAATGCTTGGGATTGGCAATAATTTACTTATTGAAGTTGCTATGATGTTAATATTCGCTTTTTTGCAACGTCATCGAGCGTCTTGTGTCGGAGAACGCCCATGAGTCATGTTACGAAATAGTGGTCTCACGTTGACCGCGGTATGACCGCGCGGCCCGTTGCATTGACCAAATGACCAGTCCACCACAGATTAGGCAGAGGTCTCCGCTGGACACGGCCCAGTTCTCGCAGGAAGCCAGCAGTTAGTCTGATGCAAGCTCACTATCTTCCTAACACGGTTTGATCTCGACCTTTACTCTCGTAGTAATAAAGGGACGTTTGGCTTACACTACACGCATTATAAAACACTATTTTATCATCTCTCGCGATATTTTTAACACTGTTACAACGTTCTAAAATTTTTAAATTGAATTATTGGAAAAAAACATTTGGTTCGACATTTTACTTAAATAAATATAACTCTTGCTAGCTTGTTTTGATATGTCTATCAATTAAGTACCTAAGGGGTCATTCCATCGTTTCGGGTGTTACGTTCGTACACACATATTCAACAATTTCATGTATTTTGAAATAGTATTTTAATAATGTTAGTGCCTTAATCTGTCCGTTTTTAGTTGTTTTATTTAAATAATAAAGTTTGTACAGCTTAGAATGTAGGATAACGAAAATATGAGTCGAAAAGTGTGCGTTTCGGGCGTTACGAGATTTTGCCTCTATGTTCTGACTGTTGCTGCATTTACTCGAGATTTAGCGAATTTTCTTAAGGAATCATACCTAAAACTTACAGGACTTCTAAAGTATGAAATTTACAAACCATGTAACATACAATCACTGTTAAATAAAACGTTTTNGAGTTCCTATGGCCAGCTCCTGCCACCTCTTGACTTCATCATCAGGACCCTGAACATCATCTAGCACTAAAGTGCTCGAAAAGACAAGTCCAACGAACCCAAACTAGATGTAATTCCGCCGTTTCGTTAAGAGTTCTTATGGCCACCTCCATACTCCATCCAGCTCAATGGTACCATAATATTGAATTGTCATCGTACTTACACAAGTATAACAAATTTCAGCTCAATTGGTTAAGGAGAACTGGTTTTAAATTCAGTTGCAAGATTTATCCCATACTAACTAACAAGCGAAGTGCTTGTAAAAATGGTACGCATATCTTTTTTGCGACTAGTTTTCTTAGTGTATTATACCATTTCGGAATCTTGGATAGTTGCTTCAACTTTATAAGAAACTTGCCGCAGTAGTGTTCATACTGTTTTTTTACAAAACGACGAGTCAAAGTGGAGTGTAAGTAAAAATCGTTCAAAATTTTAAGGAAATATCATATTTTGATTAACTTTTGTGTAAAAACTGCAAGGATTCTGAGGGTTTTAAGAATTGGGGTGGACAGCAGCACTACTTAAGTTGCCGATACAAACAAAAAAACTGAAGTATTTGAAAAATTGTAGTCGTGGTAATGTAAAATATCATAAGGGGTGTCAATTTTCGACGAATTTCATAATTTATTGTGTAACTTAAAAAATATTTGAGATAGATTTTTTTTCTTATTTTTCCTAAAGCAGTCATGACTAGGTCCACCCTGCGGCGCCGGCTTATCCTTGAATTTTGGGACACGTTGTATAAAGAAAAACACTCGTTTCTTGCGAATGCTTGGGATTGGCAATAATTTACTTATTGAAGTTGCTATGATGTTAATCTTTGCTTTGTTGCAACGTCATCGAGTGTCTTGTGTTGGAGAACGCCCATGAGTCATGTTACGAAATAGTGGTCTCACGTTGACCGCGGTGCGACCGCGCGGCCCGTTGCATTGACCAAATGACCAGTCCACCACAGATTAGGCAGAGGTCTCCGCTGGACACGGCCCAGTTCTCGCAGGAAGCCAGCAGTTAGTCTGATGCAAGCTTACTATCTTCCTAACACGGTTTGATCTCGACCTTTACTCTCGTAGTAATAAAGGGACGTTTGGCTAACACTACACGCATTATAAAACACTATTTTATCATCTCTCGCGATATTTTTAACACTGTTACAACGTTCTAAGATTTTTAAATTGAATTATTGGAAAAAAAAACATTTAATTCGACATTTTACATAAATAAATATAACTCTACCTAGCTTATTTTGATATCTCTATCAATTATTTACCTAAGCCTAAATGCGTTAGTGACCAAAAATAAAACAAGTTATGAATATGTATCATTTACTTATTACATGAATATAATTGTCTATCTCTAATTAAAAGCGTATATTAACAGTAATACTGATGATGATGTTATAAGTACTTACAAATTCTATCGTTTCAACTTATGGTAGGTAATGTAGTAATGTAACTAAATCTACGTGGATATGTAATGTTACTTAAAATATTATGTTTAAATATTTACTCAAACTACGGTTATAAAAACTTTGGTATTGAAGTAAGCATTGTATCAACATTAGTTAACTAATAGGAGATTTAAAATGTTTTTGGAATTCCTTTTAAAACCAAGAAATAACTTGATATGCTTACATTGTGTGTGGCTTTTAAAAGACTTATGTTTATGAGTTTTTCAGCCCTTTTAGATACAAAGTCAGAAAATACGCTATTATTTTTTAAACTTTACCTTTAGGAAAAGTTATAAAATCTAAAATAAGTGACAATATTTCTAAAAACAATGGTACGTATAATGTAGTATGGTAGGTTCATTACACTATCAGGTACAAAATAATTAAAAAACAACTGAAATGTAGACCAGAATCCTGATGTTACTTTAGTCTTAGAACGATAATAAAATGGTGAGATTTAGAAGTTAAAATAGACAAGAAAGAATCCACCCATTAATTCCGAAAATAATTAGGTACCTAATCTAATAGAAATACTTTGTATAAGTGAAATTTTAGAAAGAATCTACCATTTGGTACGTAACTCTCGTTAAATGTTTATTTATCTCTCTTGATTTTTAAGACCTAGTAGGTTAATTTTACGAAAAATGCACGATAGAGTTTTTTAGATGACGTCTGTAGAAGTATTATACAACTTGAAACTTGTATGAAATGGGTTACAGCCGTATAACCTTAGTAGATCCTCTTGTCTTCAATACCTTGGGGTATCAGGTCCGTCGGAGCAGCAGCCACCGGCTGCAGTGGCCGTGGAGCTGTAGCCGCCGGTACCTCATGCAGTGCCATTGGGGTATCTGCTGCATTCGGCGAAGAGCCTCCAACTGGTAACAAAAAGTTATATTTTTAACGCTTTAGACAATAGGTAAGGGATGTTGGGATGTTTCTCGATTCCTCCAAGAGAAAAGAGGGTGTTGCAGGTGAAAAAAAAAACAAAATGATGTTTTATTGATTTTATTGTATTGATGCTTTATTTGTGTTTGTATACCACTTTTGGAAGGCAATAAATCTCGTCTCGCCCAGTATAGCTAACTACTATCCTAGATGATGTATCTAATATTCCCAGTAAACACCTATTTCTCTTCAATATTCGTGATATACCTAATTACAAAAATTTTAATGTAGCTTACTGAAATGCATAAAATTGATTGACTGTTAAAACGTAGAAAACATTATTAATACAATACAGCTACGTAATATTTGGCAGCATTTCATTGCTTGTGACTATTCAATTTAAACTAAATTGATGGCCTATTAATTTGAGGCGTTCGATTTAACTCTACATGACCTTTTGAAAGCTTTTTAGTGAGCTGTCTGTTTATTATGATTAGGTAATACTCAATCAGTCAAACAAACTTGATGATGCATCGTGATTAATCACAATTATTTTTAAAACAATACTCACGTAGTCTATGTTGCCAGATCGAAAAGGGTAAGCCTCACAGATCACAACAAAACATAAAACGATCGCGAAAAGTAAACACGCGCTTTGAAACTTCATTTTCACTGTTCAAATAACAATTGACTGTTGCACTTGTGTCCACAACCGGCCGACGGCTATCCACGTCGAGTTTCCCGCAGGCTTTCATGAGTAATGCCTGGATAGACAGTCATCCCATCCATTTATATGGGAACGCGCCCACGCGCTTTCTTCTCGCGCCGCGCTGCAAAAGACAAGGGACAATGAAGTCATGTACACGGAGCAGAGCGGATAGCGACATAATTAAATTGGATAATTAGTCAATAAGGCAATTAAAGTGATTAGGTTTTCAACTGCAACACTTAACATCGCGTTCTTCCGCTCTAATAAACCGCCTGTACCTAAAAGACTGCTTAAAAATCGTACAATTTTCAACATAAAAACCACTTTTTGACTGTGTTTGAAGTCAGAAGAAGAAGCTTTTTTAAACTCATTTTTTTCCAAAATCTATCAGTTTGATATCAAAAGTGTATTTGTATAGAAGTAAGTATCGCCTAAACCTTTCTTAAAATAACTTATAGTGAACATTAATTAAATCGCTTTTCAAGCGAAATTATTAGTAACTTCAAAAAAATGCAAGTACAACGAAGTTAAAATTTCAATTAAACATTTCAGCGTTGTGGCCTTTTAGTCATCAATTCAGAACAAACGTTGACATCCTTCGGCGCCGGAGTAATTAAGCATTAATGAAACTGTTGAACAGCGTTTTAATATTATTTGAATGAACATAGCTAATCTCTTTCATTCTGTTATCTATGCAGAACAAAGCATCAGCGTTATTCCCGTCGTTGACATCTTCTTTTGTGGGCATATCACTTTTGCAAGCAACACTAATCCATAGAAATGTTCTCTTTGTTAGGTACCTAACGTTTCAAGATGTATAAATTTACTAGCTCTAGCTATAGTTATAGTTGTAAGTAATTAATTAATACGAGTACAATAACATGTCTTTAAAAGCGCCTAGACTATCAATATAAGGTAGGATAGGATAGTGTAACAAATCAGTAGACTTTACCTTACACCGATATTTTAGAATGTCTGGTCAAATACTATTAAAAAGTTGAAATTATTTGCAATTTTTTAAAAGAAATTGCCAACAAGGTAGGCACGAGTTAAGCACATGCCATCATAATGTAATAAATCCTTCGTCGGCCAAAGTTAAAGAGATCAGGATATACCTAACCGGTAAAATGATATTAATTTCAAACATGTATGATGCATTAAAACCCACTCGTCAATCTTGTTAGTTAGTTCATTGTGAAATACAAAACTTCCCCCACGCTTGCCATGAAGTTTAGAACTAACTAGATCGGAATAGTCTGTAAGACACTGCAACTGTGTGGAATGACAAGAACTAAGTATTGCAAAACCTACTCAGATAATGGAACTAAGTTATGTTACAGAACTTCATGATAGGCTGAAAGTTATGTGGGCTTTTGATAAAGACAATGAATTGAATAATACAATCTTTGTTTGGATTTTTCTCTTTTTACTTACGGTGTACAAATCCCACTAGATTTAGTAATTACTTACTTATGTAATAACAAATTAACACTACCGTAAGACGTTCTAGAGATAACTTTCAAACCCACGGAAATATTTTGGAACGCGTGACTGAAAAAATAGAGTTTGCAATTTAAATTTTAAAATTAAGTAATTTAACAAAAAGGCTTTTATTTAAAAACCCATAAGCATAGGTAAAATAGGAGTCTCAATATTTCAAAACCCAGTTAAAAGTCCAAAACTTACCCCTTGATTTGATCGATTCCAAATTAATTTGGTTGTATTTTTACACAATGATGTCGAACATTAACTACCTAATTAGAATGTAACTAGAAATTTCCAGAGCACAGTATCCGTATTACGCCTGCCTTGCGTCAATTAGTTTGTTTGTCTGTCTAATGTGACAGTGGCGCGAGTAACTTCCGCGAACTGCAGAGAAGAGCATTGAGTCAGATCATAATTGGATTAAATCTTGAAACCCATATAGTCTCGGACATTATGCAGTCATTGCGTGTCTACGTATCTACATCTATACTTCTATACTAATATTATAAATGCGAAAGTAACTCTGTCTGTCTTGCTTTCACGCCTAAATCACTGAACCGATTTTGATCACATTTGGCATAGGGATAGTTTGAGTCCCGGGAAAGGACATAGGATAGTTTTTATCCCGGTTTTTGAAACAGGGACGCTATAAAGTTTACTGTGACAGACAAAAACCACGCGGGCGAAGCCGCGGGCGGAAAGCTAATAAAATATAGTCTAAGACGCTATACCAACCCACGTTGCTATGTCGTGGTCTGGTACCTATACTGATTAAATCGGTTGATTAAATTAGGGAATCTTGTCTTTAATTTTGGTGTCAGGTCCCAAGACAGTCCAATTTCAATTTTGAACGACTCAACCGTTTTATTGCGCACTCGTTTTAATGTGCAGACGGGACGCAGATGGTGCATTACTCGGGCTATTATTGAGTGTTTTCTTTAAATTAATATAACTACTTATGTATTTACAAAAAAGTATCTAAAATCCGTAGACTTGTGCCCATTATGCGATGATTCCCTACTTAGTTTGAGATTACTTAGTTGGCGCGGTGTTACAGGGAAAATTATTAAATGTTCTATAGCTGAAATATACAAAGCTATGGTAAGTATTTATAAATACGTTTTTGAAAATAATATCACGACGTAGCGTTAACAAATTAAGTTAGTAAAAGTACAAACATGAAAATAATCAGGTATACTCGTACATTTTGTTCAATTGTTTGTTCCTCTTCTGTTCGAATTAGGATCTTAGATTATTATGTAAGATAGATGAAGATTGTGTAAGTATATTTCACAGACATTCGAGGTGTTACTAGTCAACAAACCGTTTAATAGGAAGCCATACTGTCAATCGTTTGTAGGGTGAGCACAACAGGTATTGAAAATTCTGAAGACTGGACATTTGAATTAGTAAACAGTTAGCTAAAGCACTTGGAATAACAATATAGAGTCGCATGCTCATTACATAATTTCAAACATCATGCTAACTATACGTTTTGTTTAGCTTGACATGCGACAGCATGTAGGTACAGGTGATAGCAGCTTTCGTTCGAATCAGCTAAAATTTTATTCAGTTTCATCAATTATCCTAATCCCATAGCTGTTTCCATGTATCCACACAGTTGGTTCCATCTATTTCAAAGTTGTACTTACATGTAAACCTACTTACTTAATAGTTATTTTCTATTAGATGACCTAATCTTCAAAATCAGTTTATCCTGGCTTATTGGTCAGATTTTAAAGGAAAAATATTCCTGAAAACTCTTTTCTTAAAATTGTTCAATGAAACTGCATTTTCGTAGATAGAATTATAACAAGTCAATATAGTCCTTTGATGAGTTAAACTGCTTCGTAAAACTATACACACTTGGAAAAAGCTCTCTTTGAAAAAGTTTTCTTTTATCCGTTTTCCCGCCTAATCTATCAAGTGTATTCGAGAGTGGTCACCCCGGAGTAAGCGGTATCGATCAGGACCTGAACAAGTAGGACGTCGATATATCGCCGCGCTCCTCGAGTTTGTCGCATAAACATGGAAACACGACCTTATTTACCGAAGATGGCAAATTTTTTAACAGCCCTTACGATTTCGGGTCTTAAATAAACAGAAACGACGCATTTCTCTCAAAATAATGGTGTTAACAAAGTAAATTCAATAGTGGATTAGAGAAAAACATCAGTAATGTGGTGAAAGTGACTAGTTTTTTCGTAACCATGGTAAGTACTTAATAATTTTCCTAATTTAATTTTGATTGATATTTGAGTAAATTATTTATTGTGTTAATTATGTGCTTTGAATCACCTACTTTCCACACAAATTAAGTAGGTATTTATAGGTTCAATAAATGTATTTAACATAAACATAATATGGTACTTAAATACCCGATAAAGAATATTCCTTTTATGTAAACCTGCCATCCTTTAAAGCTTACGCCTGTTTAGTTTCTTTAAGCCTGTAATATTACACCACTTTTACAAAATGGTGATTACAGTAATCTTGTCCCCTTTGAGTAATAGTAGCAGCTAATAAGAAAGTCGGGTTGAAGACTCTATTTCTTTTTATCAAACGAGATGTTTGCAGACGGATTTTTAGGTAGCAGTTCTTCCTGCTATAAATAGGTTTGTTTATAATTCTCAAAATTTTAAGTTAATGTAATATTATAAAATGTATCCTCTAAATATACAATCCCATAAGGAAAATTCTCAAAATATGTTTTTTTTAAATCTGGATATTGTGAATAGTTTATTATATTAAAGTAGTAGAAAATATCTTGTTACACCTATGTATACCTCTAGGCTAGAATGCTGAGGATACTGATAGAGTAGGCAATAGAGAAAGTTAATTACTTTTTGTTGGTATTTTTTTCAAACAGAATAATAAAGATGACGAGTGAACGACGTGAGCAGCGCACCTGCATCAAAATGAGCAACGCATTGAACTCGCTCGGCTACGGCGAAGCGTGCGGCGCGCGATGGACGCTGGGCGCGCTATTGCTGGCACCGCTAGCGGCCGCTAACTCCAGCTACTGTGCCGTACCCGCCGTGTTGCTGCTGGCTGCTTTCATCACTGTTGCCAGTGAGTAAGATAAACAAAANCTGGACTATAGGTAGGCACGAGTTAAGCACATGCCATCATAATGTAATAAATCCTTCGTCGGCCAAAGTTAAAGAGATCAGGATATACCTAACCGGTAAAATGATATTAATGTCAAACATGTATGGTGCATTAAAACCCACTCGTCAATCTTGTTAGTTAGTTCATTGTGAAATACAAAACTTCCCCCACGCTTGCCATGAAGTTTAGAACTAACTAGATCGGAATAGTCTGTAAGACACTGCAACTGTGTGGAATGACAAGAACTAAGTATTGCAAAACCTACTCAGATAATGGAACTAAGTTATGTTACAGAACTTCATGATAGGCTGAAAGTTATGTGGGCTTTTGATAAAGACAATGAATTGAATAATGCCGTGTTTGTTTGGATTTTACTTATGGTGTAGAAAGCCCACTAGATTTTGTAATTACTTACTTACGTAATAACAAATTAACAACTACCGTACGACGTTCTAGAGATAACTTTCAAACCCACGGAAATATTTTGGAACGCGTTTTTACAGACTGAAAAAATAGATTTTGCAAATAAATTGCAAGTGACTTGAAAATGAAGCAATTTAACAAAAAGGCTTTTATTTAAAAACCCTTAAGCATAAAATAGGAGTCTCAATATTTCAAAACCCAGTTAAAAGTCCAAAACTTACCCCATGATTTGATCAATTCAAAATTAATTTGGTTGTATTTTTAAACAATGATGTCGAACATTAACCACCTAATTAGAATGTAACTAGAAATTTCCAGAGCACAGTATCCGTATTACGCCTGCCTTACGTCAATTAGTTTGTTTGTCTGTGTAATGTGACAGTGGCGCGAGTAATTCTTCCGCGAACTGCAGAGAAGAGCATTGAGTCAGATCATAATTGGATTAAATCTTGAAACCCATATAGTCTCGGACATTATGCAGTCATTGCGTGCCTACGTATCTACATCTATACTAATATTATAAATGCGAAAGTAACTCTGTCTGTCTGTCTGTCTGTCTGTCTGTCTGTCTTGCTTTCACGCTTAAACCACTGAACCGATTTTGATGAAATTTGGCATAGGGATAGTTTGAGTCCTGGGAAAGGACATAGGATAGTTTTTATCCCGGTTTTTTAAACATTTACGCTATAAAGTTTTTTTGTGACAGACAAAATTCCACGCGGGCGAAGCCGCGGGCGGAAAGCTAGTAAAATATAGTCTAAGACGCTATACCAGCCCACGTAGCTATGTCGTGGTACAGGTACTACTGATTAAATCAGTTGATTAAATTAGGGAATCTTGTCTTTAATTTTGGTGGCAGGTCCCAAGACAGTCCAATTTCAATTTTGAACGACTCAACCGTTTTATTGCGCACTCGTTTTAATATGCAGACGGGACACAGATGGTGCATTAACTCTGGCTATTATTAAGTGTTTTCTTTACTTATGTACAAAAAAGTAGGATCTAAAATCCGTTGACTTGTTGAGATTACTTAGTTGGCGCGGTGTTAATGGATTATTTTATTAAAAATTTCTATAGCTAAAACAACAAACAAATCTATGGTAAGTATTTATAAATACGTTTTTGAAAATAATTCACTACGTAACGTTAACAAAGTAAAAGTTAATAAAAGTACAAACATGAAAATAATAAGGTATACCTACTCGTACATTTTGTTCAATTGTTTGTTCCTCTTCTGTTCGAATTAGGATCTAAGATTATTATGTAAGATAGATGAAGATTGTGTAAGTATATTTCACAGACATTCGAGGTGTTACTAGTCAACAAACCGTTTAATAGGAAGCCATACTGTCAATCGTTTGTAGGGTGAGCACAACAGGTATTGAAAATTCTGAAGACTGGACATTTGAATTAGTAAACAGTTAGCTAAAGCACTTAGAATAACAATATAGAGTCGCATGCTCATTACATAATTTCAAACATCATGCTTTACTAACTATACGTTTTGTTTAGCTTGACATGCGACAGCATGTAGGTACAGGTGATAGCAGCTTTCGTTCGAATCAGCTAAAATTTTCTTCAGTTTCATCAATTTTCCTAATCCCATAGCTGTTTCCATGTGTCCACAGTTGGTTCAAACACACACAGTTGGTTCCATCTATTTCAAAGTTGTACTTACATGTAAACCTACTTACTTAATAAGTAGTTGTTATTTTCTATTAGATGACCTAATCTTCAAAATCAGTTCATCCTGGCTTATTGGTCAGATTTTAAAGGAAAGATATTCCTGAAAACTGTTTTCTTAAAATTGTTCAATGAAACTGCATTTTCGTAGATACAATTATAACAAGTCAATATAGTCCTTTGATGAGTTAAACTGCTTCGTAAAACTATACACACTTGTAAAAAGCTCTCTTTGAAAAAGTTTTCATTTACCCGTTTTCCCGCCCAATCTATCGAGTGTATTCGAAAGTGGTCACCCCGGAGTAAGCGGTATCGATCAGGACCTGAACAAGTAGGACGTCGATATATCGCCGCGCTCCTCGAGTTTGTCGCATAAACATGGAAACACGACCTTATTTACCGAAGATGGCAAATTTTTTAACAGCCCTTACGATTTCGGGACTTAAATAAACAGAAACGACGCATTTCTCTCAAAATAATGGTGTTAACAAAGTAAATTCAATAGTGGATTAGAGAGAAACATCAGTAAGCTAGTGAAAGTGACTGTGGTTTTTTCGTAACCATGGTAAGTACTTAATAATTTTCCTAATTTAATTTTGATTGATATTTGAGTAAATTATTTATTGTGTTAATTATGTGCTTTGAATCACCTACTTTCCACACAAATTAAGTAGGTATTTATAGGTTCAATAAATGTATTTAACATAAACATAATATGGTACTTAAATACCCGATAAAGATTTTTCCTTTTATGTAAACCTGCCATCCTTTAAAGCTTACCTACGCCTGTTTAGTTTCTTTAAGCCTGTAATATTACACCACTTTTACAAAATGGTGATTACAGTAATCTTGTCCCCTTTGAGTAATAGTAGCAGCTAATAAGAAAGTCGGGTTGAAGACTCTTTTTCTTTTTATCAAACGAGATGTTTTGCAGACGGATTTTTAGGTAGCAGTTCTTCCTGCTATAAATAGGTTGGTTTATAATTCTCAAAAAATGTTTTATAAAATCTGGATGTTGTGAATAGTTTATTATATTAAAGTAGTAGAAAATATCTTGTTACACCTATGTATACCTCTAGGCTAGAATGCTGAGGATACTGATAGAGTAGGCAATAGAGAAAGTAAATTACTTTTTGTTGGTATTTTTTTCAAACAGAATAATAAAGATGACGAGTGAACGACGTGAGCAGCGCACCTGCATCAAAATGAGCAACGCATTGAACTCGCTCGGCTACGGCGAAGCGTGCGGCGCGCGATGGACGCTGGGCGCGCTATTGCTGGCACCGCTGGCAGCCGCTAACTCCAGCTACTGTGCCGTACCCGCCGTGTTGCTGCTAGCTGCTTTCATCACTGTTGCCAGTGAGTAAGATAAACAATAAGCAATGTATTGAACTCGCTCGGCTACGGCGAAGCGTGCGGCGCGCGATGGATGCTGGGCGCGCTATTGCTGGCATCGCTGGAAGCCGCTAACTCCAGCTACTGTGCCATGCCCGCCATGTTGCTGCTGGCTGCCTTCATCACTGTTGCTAGTGAGTAACATATAAATACTAAGCAACGCATTGAACTCACTCGGCTACGGTGACGCATGCGGCACGCTATGGACGCTGGGCGCGCTATTGCTGGCACCGCTGGCAGCCGCCAACTCCAGCTACTGTGCCGTGCCTGCGGTGCTGCTGCTAGCTGCCTTCATCACTGTTGCCAGTGAGTAAGATAAACATTAAGCAATGCATTGAACTCGCTCGGATACGGTGAAGCGTGCGGCGCGCGATGGACGCTGGGCGCGCTATTGCTGGCACCGCTGGCAGCCGCTAACTCCAGCTACTGTGCCGTGGCTGCTGTACTGTTGCTAGCTGCATTCATCACTGTTGCTAGTGAGTACCTAACATATAAACACTAAGCAACGCACTGAACTCACTCGGCTACGGTGAAGCGTGCGGCGCGCGATGGACGCTGGGAGCGATTTTCTTGTTTTTCTAGTAACTTATAAACGAATCAACTATTTCGAATCGAAATCCATAACAAATATAACCCGAATAAATAAAAAATACGAAAGATTTTACGAGAACACAATATAAGTAACGCTACGAAAGAAAATCCCTACTACGAGAGCTACGAAAAGAAATGCATCGCTACGAACGCTACGAAAATTAATGCTACGGTGAAATGTTTTCTACGACTGCTACGAAATCATTAAATAAATTTTATTTTTCAGCTTTTACATGCAAGGACCTGAAGAAGCTGGCTGAAATACTACCACCGCCGAAAACGTCTAGAGGCCGACGCGAGCGCAACCTGCGCTCTTTCGCCGACTTCATGGCGATGTGGATGACGTTTCTGTCTCATCTGGTGGCCGTGGCTATCTGCGCCAGGATCCTGAGCGCCACGGCTGACCACGTGACCGCCGGTCGAACCAGGCGATGGCTGTTTGGGTACGAGACTAGAGCCCTGGGAGAACCCTGGCCTGATGTATTGGGGGTCACCGTCGTGATGGTGGTTTGCGCTATGTTCATGTGTGGACTGGAGGTAAGTTATTACTATTTACATAACTATCAATACATAACTTTAAATATGTTACCTTGCTTTTCTAAGTCACTCCTAAAATAAATTATCTTATTTTAATTAAAAAGCCTACAATAACTGAAACCAGATTAGTGTTATTATAAATTTTAAGCATTGCTGCGAATTTGTGAAATTGAATGAGGTCAACATCCGTAGGAAGCTCCAGAGTCAATTTTAAAATAAGTTCATTATGCCCCGTCATAATATTCCAGTAAATAAATTAAATCATCCGTTTGTGACACACAATGTTAATGCTAATCTAATTTCTTTACAGGAAAGTATGATGTTCACGTTTATGTTGCTGATTCTTCTGTACATATTTAGTCAATTCTTTGCCATTGTCGGCCTTATGAATTTGGATATTGCGAATATTAATATTCCTATACCTATCACAATTAATGAGGTAAGAAAAATTACAGCATTACACTCTAGTATGTACCTAGTAAAATATTTTCTATTGCACAACTAATTCTTATTTTCAGATGTTTGCTGCTGGTGCGCCAATATCTTACGCTTTTAGTGTAGTTTTACCTCCTAAGGAAAGTGGTTCTCTGAAGAAAAACTTGATACTTCGCATTGGTTTGCCGACGGTCGTTCTCGCGGGTCTGTGCTTTTTGTACACCAATATGTTAAAATCGTAAGTAGACTCTTATGTGAAATATTATGATTATATTATGCATAACCTAACGTCATAACGCCTGTATTCACAAACAATGCTTGCATAAGTGTAGCAGCAAATCCAATGCACAGCGCTGAATAGAGCTCTGTGATTGGTTCGTGTGTCACCCTGTGCGTCCTCGTGTGTCAGCCTCTAGCTAAATAGTGTGTTACACCCATATGAATAAGACGTAGAATATAACCGTGAATAGTTGATAATGAAAGCGAAGTTGCTGTCGAAAGTCTTCGCTATACTGAATAAAGTAAAAGGTTTTATTATAATTACATATTTGTTTTTCTTACAGGCATAGCATTGACGCCGCGCTACCAGTCACAACGTTACTAGAAGCCAGGTCAGCTGGATGGGTGTGCCCAGTCCTGGCTGCTGTCACAGTCGCTGGTGTCTGTCTCGCTCTCACTGAGCTCTGCCCATTGCTGTTTACTGTGCTTGTGGCTCTGGCTTCACCAGAGTGGAAGGTGCTGACCAGGTCCATGACATACGAAAGCACTACCACTGGTAGTCCAGTTCTAGCTGTATTTACAGCCGGTAAGATTTCATTTTAATTTACTCTGTAGGAAGAAATTTAAACCTTAATTTCTTCGTCTTCACCAGACTTTAAACTTTCTGTTTCAGGGAGTTTGGCAGCCATCCTGGCGTTTGCGTGTCCACTATCGCATATGATTACCCTGATGAATGCAAGCCACCTGCTTGGCATCACAGTGCAGGCGTTCCACTTCATCATCATGCGCTGCGTGCCCACGGCCGAGCAGAAGGAAGCTGGAGGTGGGTTCAGTAATACCTACTCCTTTAGCTTGACTAATTTTCTTTTCATAGTAGCCCTTGAAACACAAGTTTAGCTCTAGTATACCTACCACGACAATGATATTTTTATTGGTTTATGACTAGTAAGTATTCCTGATTCCAGACGTGGAGTACAAACGCCTTGGCACCGAGGGTAGTTCACGAGCAATGAAGTCAAGCAGCTCAAAACCCAAACGAGGCCTGTGGTTCATACCATCAGCGATACGGCACACTAAGACATTGGAGAGTATCAAGCCTAAAGTGACAGCAAAAGGTAAACCTAACTCATTGGCGATTAAAAATCCGTTTAACATTCTCTACTGCACCGATGCTTCATGAGAATTTGATGAACGCACATCTACTACACACGTCTATTATGTTTACAGAAACAGAAGAACGCGAGTGTCTTTTGCTTGACGAGTACTCTGGATGTCCAACAGAAGAAATAGACCAAGCAACCAGCTGCAGCAGTGGAATCAGGGACTTGCCTACTGTTGAAGTGGAAGACGTAGTATCGGACGTCGAAGCTAGCGAGGGTGAACTGTCTTCAGGAGACGACTCTACCGATATCGATGCGGTAGTGAAGGAGTATAGAGATAGGATTCAAGTAAGTACAATAATGGTACCTTTATATCCACTCAACTATACGTAGTTCTTAATCATCATCATTTCAGCCACAGCCTAGGACTTCCACTGCTAAACATAGGGATGATTTCACATGGCCCGGTTGGTAGCGGCCTGTATGCAGCGCCAGCAACTGATACCCAAAATGTTAGATTCTTCAAGTGATTGCGAACTCTATGGCGGTTATCACACTACGCCGCGCTCCGTCGCGGAGCGCGGGGCGACAGATTTAATAATTGTATGCAAGTACCTCAGTTTGTATGGAAAACACGCGCGGCACTTCACACTGACAACGCGTCCGCGCGCGTAATTTTTTATATGAAATCACGCGCTCCGCAGCGGAGCGCGGCGCAGTGTGATAACCGCCTATGTTCAAAGTTATAAGTTATGAGATCATTCAAAGATATTTTACATTGGATAGGTTGACATGCTGTTGCTGTCTGCAGAATATTTTCATGTAAAGCAGAGAACCTAGGAACCATTCGATATAAATTTACTCAACGAAATCATTCTCATAAGGTTCTGCTATAACTTCCAAGCAATTTCATATATTTTTTCCTCGACAAAAGGATCTTTTTTACGAGGTAAAGGATCTCCAAAAGATTTTCAAACTCCCATCTGATTGTTTTCCATTCCTTCCAGGTGGTAACAGCGGTTCCCGAAGCCAGCATGCCCACCCCGCCCAGCGTGCGGGGAGCGCGATGGTCCGCAGTAGGGGCCGTGGTCCAAGTGCTGGCAGACGCCTTCATAGCGACTGCCTTCTGCAATGAGGCCATCAGGGTGCCTATGTTTGCGACTGGCATACCTTGTAAGTTGTTCCAGTACGGTTCAAAATCGCATCTTTTACACAAGATTCCACACCTTAGCTGTACATTCGACTCTACATCCCTCTATACAGGGTGGAAACGATAAGACAGTGATCTCAATCGGTTATTTCTAAACTATGCAAGATATCGAAAAACCGGTTACTGATTCCGAAAGTGCTTCACGAGCTCCATCAAATGTCATCAATAATACGTTACAGAATTAAGTAGATCTTATTTTATTTATTTATTATTCATTATTGAGCAATTACATATTTGATCCAAATAGCGTCCTAAATCCTCTTTAGGTTTGTCTAGACACTATTGTTCTCTATACAAATAAAAACAAACATTTTAGTATCTTTTCGAAGATTAAATGTTTCAGCTCGTTCCAGCAGTGAGATCACTTTATCGTTTCCACCCTGTAAGATTCTACATCTATATACGAATGTGATCACTTTAAATACATAGGTATAGCGGAATAGTCGGTTCATTAGGTATTCAGGTCAATTCATTCTTCACACTCGCTTTCCAAAGTATGCCCAATTGCCCAGCCTAGAGCTCTATCAGTGTTACCTACCCACAGACCCACAATGTTTCTTGCCACATGCTCCTTTCTTCCGTAACATAACTTCAATAACTACCTACTTACTTAGTTCTATTTGCAGTATGGCTATGTGGGACCTTCATAAGCGCGTGGCAGCCAGCTCACAACCTGGGCTTGAGGAAAACTCAAAGCATTCAGGGGCCTGTGGCAATGCTGATCGCGCTGCTGTTCCTTACGCCACTCCTGCTCGACTCCTGGCCGGCCATCACGCTTTTTGCTGGAGCTGGTAATATTAATGAATTCGGTATTTTTAATAGATGCTAATTTTAATTTCAAGTTATAAATTATGTCTTAAAATGTTGTACACACGGCCACACTGTTAACTATCCATTTCCGTTTTTGTTCTCGCTCTCATCAAATGGTGATTCTTTGCGATAGAACGAGACGACATAACAGGTAATGGATATTAACACTGTTGCCGATGGTACATTATGAAGACCAGTATACTCGTACTATACTAATTACATACAACCTGGCCAAGTTAACTGCGCACCTGGCTGCCGTCGTGACGTCACATCAACGCTCGGTACGGACGGGGCGAACGCGGGAAGGTGTGCGGGTGAGTGCGAGGGAGTCGCATTTCAGCCAGGTGCGCAGTTAGCTTGGCCGGGTATACAGGGTGTTAGGTAAATGGGTATGTGAGCCGACACTAGCCCATGTTAACAAGGTCATATAAATGGTATGGTGAAGTCAGAAAATTGATATCTTCATTTTAATTATTTTAATTTTCATACAAATCGGATTTTATAAAATTTATTTTGTATGAAAATTAAAAAAAGTAAAATGATGATATCAAATTTCTGACTTCACCATACCATTTATATGACCATGTTAACATGGGCTAGTGTCGGCTCATATACCCATTTACCTAACACCCTGTATAGCTGCAACCCTCTATGGCTGCAACCACCAAAGTCTACTACTATTCAATTATTAATTTCAAAGCAAAAAAAAACGATTGATTGAAAACACATTCGGGTTTACGGGCTGGAATATTTTTTCTTAAAGTAAGGAGTGATGATCAAGGACCGGTCGTTGTGGATTGTGGAAAATCTTGGGTGGTCCAGTAATGGACGTCTCTTTGTTGAACAGGAGAGTTGTAGTAAAGTAGCTGGTGTATCGTATGATCTATGTAGATACTTATATGTAACTAAAAGCTAATTTCGTCCAGGTGTGGTGATATATGCCCGCTGCGAACGCTGGTGCGGCGACCTGGCAGTGCGGCAGGCCCGTAGCGCCCTGGAGCGCCGCAAGCTGTCGCCTGTCACCGCCGCCGTGCCGCTCACCGGCGCTCGGCTCGCGCACATCGATACTGTCTACATAGCCAGGTAAATCTTACGCCGTTTGTGGAAAAAAATACTTACCTGAGAGCCTTTTCAAACAAGAGATAGGTCTAAAGTCCGGTCGCACACGCACTGCGGCCGCCCGTCGCACAGTCGCGACAGCAATATACGCGCGAGCCATAAGGATAGGTAGCTTGGGGTAAGTTGGGGTCATTGGACGAAATTCTATCTGCTCGGCGACCGGACTTTAAGAGGTGCATGAAATCGCGGCTTGCAAGCTAAGCGGGCCTCGATCTCGCCTGGATGATGATTGTAATAACAAAAACCTGTGGTCTCAAAGCCATAATGATGTGACTTTTGGTAGCTGCGATGTTACAGCGTAGTATGTTATCGGTAGAGTGAATAGGCTCTTAGATAATGGCCACAAATAATAGCGAGACGTGCAGTCTTCCTTTCAAATACATTAATTAGCTAATGGAAAGGCTGTTCAGAGTAATAAAATCTATTTCGATCTTTAAGCACCAAATTAAGAAAATACACTCAACATCAAATAAACCGCACCTTCCGCGACGCGAACTTTAAAGATTTTCTTCTGACACAATCATGGTACCCCAACAATATTGGTGTTATTTGAAAGCCCAATAAATATCCTTAAAGAAAAATACATTTCATTTCTAAATAAATGATTAACATATACCATAAATGTGACTTGAAAATAGACCTCACTTTGGGGTCACCTCTGGGATCAATTAGACCAATTTTTATGGTTATAAAACCAAATAAAGATCTCACGTGTCCTCTTTAACAGATGGATTGCGATTAATCCCAACTTAACAGTTTTATAGTCATAAAAAATGGCTATAGCGTAACTACCCATTTTTTGAAGAAGTGACTCTGGATCCTTGTAAAGACACATTTTTGGGGTAAAACCCTTTCCTTTAATGAAATGATTTAGAACTAGGGTTTCAAATGGTACCAATGTTGGTGGGAAGTGGGGATGCATACGTTTGCTAAGTGCTTGTCGCAGGAGGTGCGATTTATTTGATGCCGAGTGTATGTTAGTTTTATGGTTTTAATTATATTTTACCGAATCCTTCGTTCTTTTGGTTTTCAAATTTGTTTTTCGTCCTGTTTAACTTTAGCTTCATTCCTGGTTCAAAGACAGTTTAGCTTTCCCTGAGACACAAGGGCTACATTGACCGGGTCCAAACCGACATCATGGCAGAAATTTCGTCAGGTACCATTGAATATTAACTGTTTTCTATCAAACAATTAGTTCCGCCAGTATTATTAACATAGGAACCTACTACTTCATCATCATCTTGGTACATCTCATAGAAAACAAAGCTAATATGATTCTTCTCGCTCGAGTTATTATAGGGAGATAAAAGTACCTACGTGTATTATCACTTGCCGTTACTGTTCCTCTAAGCTAGATCATGGTAATAATATTACATGTAGATTATTTTCATCCATATTTTCTGTAGGTAAACTTAAAGCATTTTCTAATATGGACGATGGCACATCAAGCTAAACATGCTAAACATGAAACAATTATGTAGAAAGTGCTATTTTGAAACAAAAAATACGGAACCCTAAAAATCACCTTATTCAAATGAAGGGTAATTTCCGGACGCTGTAACCAATACCCAATACGAAGCCGGCCTATAGAGATAGAAAACAGGTAAAGTGACAAACTTACAGCTTCCATGTCTATAATAGCCTAATTAATTTCCAGATGACATGAGGATGACTCGGATTCGAGTCTGGACAATCTAATTGATGCCGACGACGAAGAGGCGTACGATGACGAATGACACGGGACCCAGGCCATCGTGATCATCGCGTAAGGGATCATTTGTGAAAGAAAGACTACGTGCTGTAGTGATGTGATTGATTGGATTGTTTTAAGTTATGTAGAGTCAATAATATAATGGTTTGTGGTATGAAATGACACTGAAATATGGACTCAAGTCTTGTGATTGAGAACGGTTAAATTGAACCAATCACAGATTTGAATCTATGCTTGATTTTGATAAAGTTTTAAGCTAAATTCAGAATATCATTTACGTAATGGACAATGTAGGAAAGCAATTGCGTGAAAATAATTCTAATGATAGAGTAGTGGTATGTGAACAAAACCTGATAGTCGAATGTGTGTTTCGAATCAGTATGCAAAATGCATTTAAGTGCTAGATTGTGCACTAAAACAAAATTCTAATACCAATAATAATTCAACATGATTCAGATGAAACAATCAGTCAGTAATGGTTTTTCGTTTTGCTCAATAGTACCTACATAGGTGTAAATTGATCTATATTCAATTGATGTTCGTAGTAAATAACCTAAATATAAGGAAAAGTGGTGATCTTGTGATAATATCCATTAGTGAGAGGCAGATGTAATGTAGAAACTTAGTGGGTAAGCCTTGTTTTACTGCTGTTGGATATTTCGTAATAACTAATATTATAGTTAATATCTAACAGAGGTTAAACAGTTTTTAACTTTGCTAGCTTGGTGCCACCCAAACGTTTTGAATTTAAATGTTTTTGGTTGTAGTGAATGTGATACATTAAATAAATATTTTAAGGTATCCGTCCATCCGCCATACGCGATATATGAGCACCGCTTACGTGCTTTACATTTTAACAACTTATTACGTATTTTTATCAAGTCGCCTTAATAGAAAACTTTGCTAGTTAATAAGTAGGTCCTTTAATCAGTCTATTTTGGTAATATAAAGAACGGAATTATTCAAAGTCGGCCTAATAATTAAAGAAATTTATTAATAACAATTAGAATAAAGCCGTTACAAATCATCAAGTGTCGTAAGCCCATGTCTTTTTGCAATAAAAATAAATGCTGAATCATTAAATATAACAGTTGTTTAAATTACTATACCTCACTTTTCTAATAAATACATCCTATATATTTTTTCTGCTTCTTGATCTTCAAAACATGGATTGAACTTGACTTCAATTATTTCTGTGAAGCCTTCACTTGGCGTGGGATCCGTGAATTTATTCCTGAAACAATGAGATTTATGTTATTTAAAAGCCAAAGCATAGATGCTTAGAGTAAGATAGAAATTAAGACTTCAACAATTAAATATTAAAATCCATAAAGTTGTTTAGTCATCAATAGTATGTTAAACATATACCAGTAAACACTTTCACTTCTGTAGAGTGTCACATTTTCCATGGATAGGTGTACAAAATTTGAGTAAGTACATGGACCTAAAAAATACAAATACTCACTTGTAAGTATGAAAGACGATGTCATTGACTGGAACGTGGTTGATCTTCATGAGCTCCCTGAACTTGTTGTTGTGTTGCGCGTGCGCCTTCGTGGCGGCCATCTTGGCGCATCGGCACTCCACCTTCATTTGTTTCGCGAGAGAAGTCCAGCGAGACCGCGACTCGATATCTGGGTTAGTACTGTCCACGATTACACTTTTTCCTCTCTGAAAATTGTATTTAAGAATGTTTAGACATGTGTAAAGTTATTTATTTCCAGAAAGACACCATGAGGACTTAATTCAAAGCAGTCCATTTTGTCGATAAAAAAAAGTCAAGTCGTTTATACGTAAGTAATCGCAATTATCATGAAACACCCACCTCTAAAAGTTTTGTAGCTTCAGCAGCACACTTCTGCCAACTACCAAGAACGTCTCTGCATACGGCCACATATTGGTGATTCGACTTTTTTTCTATTTGCTTAGCCAGGAATGATTTGCCACTGCCAGGGTACCCCACAAAGACGAGAATCTAAAAAGAATGTTCAAATTAAGAAACTTAAGATTTCTGAAGATGATAAAGACTCCTCCAAGCTTCTACTCAATGGACCATCACATAATGATGTAACATACTTGGCATACCTTTCAATGACTATGCTGTAACTCTGCTAATAACACACACATCTTTAGTGTTCAATTGTTTTGAGTCTTGATGTCAGAAAAGTTACTTCAGATTCTTGTGTTTTCAAGTGACTCACCATTATAAAAGGTTAGAATTGGAACATCAAAAGACATATTTAGTGTTTACATATGTATGAACTTTTTAACTTTTAGTGCCTTTTAAAAAGACTAAATATTAAGGCCCCATTAATGAATATAAATATGAAAAAATAAAGAACTAGATGGTGAATTTTCCTCACCTCCTTTTTAGTGCTTATCAGATTGTCATTAAATGGCTCTGATTTAACATCTTTGGGAATAAATTCAGGTTTGCTCATCGGCACATTTGCAATAGAATGGCCTAGGAAAAACTGCTCTGGGGTATAAAACTTTAAGCCCAGGTTTTCAGCCATAAGTTTATCTGCCATGGAATGGTCTTTCTTCTTGCCAGGTGCCCAATTTGCTGTGCGTCCAGCTGCATCACCACAGTAGAAACAATCTTCTTTAACTATTTCTAGGCCACCATTTTTCTAAAATTAAATAGAAATAATTAATAAATACCTTAAATACTAATTAATTTAATTTATACAATAATATACCATACCCGTTCAGTTAATATTTTCCACATTCCCGTAGCAGGTTTCCTATAAAACCCTTTTCCAGTTGCTATGTATGCCTGAATAGGGACATCGAGTTTTGTAGTAATACCCTCAATTTTCTTCTTAAAATCTTCAATTTTAACTCTACCATTTCCTATTGGAGCTTGATTGCTAAGGATTACTATTTTGTAGTCTTGTGTTAATAGTTCTTTTAACTTCTGTGCTACAGTAGGGAAAGCTATTTGCCAATCATTTATATCTACTGGATGAACTTTGCCTGACTTTGTCTTGATTAAAGTGCCATCCATATCAAAAGCTGCTATCTTTTTACTTGGTTTAACCCCCTTTGCAGTGAATATGTAGAGTTCACCCCTATCTATTTCATCCCAAGTGTCGTCCAATGCTTCTTCAATATGTTCTGAACCAGTGTCTAAGTTTTCTGCTTTCATTTTCTTACTTTGTGCAGTAGTTGTTTCTTCATCATCTAATTTCCTTTTGCTGCTGTGTTTCGGTTTTTCACCGTCTTCGGGAGGTGGATCGAACTCAATGATATGTATATAGTTATTTAGAAGGACCTCAACTTTGCTGCCATGACCCACTTTGTATGGAACATTCTTTTTCAGAGCAAACCCATCTAACCCTGACGGATTTACACCCAACTGCGTGAGCTCAACTGAACATTCTATACAATCAGCTTTGAGGCTTACTGTAAAAGAGGAACAAGTACCTACATTTAAAACAGATACATAAACATAACCTATACAAGTTGTAAACAGTAACTTTAAACCAAGTAACTGTAAAATATAGCTTACCCTGTTGCCTCGAGCAAGAAGAATCTTTGATTTTAGTAGCTTTACTGCGACCTATAACTGTTTCCACATTGTGTATTAGCTTGATCGGTGCATGAGTATCCAGAAGACACCTCAAAAAACACTGGCGCATCATATTGTTTGAGTAACGAAATACAGTATTGGACACCTAATATGAAAACTTTCAGTTTTACCTTTTTATTTCATTAGAAAATAAATAATGATTTATCCAAATCTTGAAAAATCATAGGACAACTGTGGGACAACAACAAACAGCTGTAGTAAAAAAAAATGACTGACACTGACAGTTGTCAGGCAACGGCCAACGATATAATATCGGTATAGTTCCAAAATACTGGACTGTCCTGTCGATGACATTGACAGTGGGGCGCCACCGTCAATACCGGATCGCTGGTTCAGATTTTTGTCATGTTGGAAACCATATAGTTGAACGATGGTAGCGCCCCCCTGTCATTGAGTTTCGCGGGACAGTTCAGCGTGGGTCATCTATAATACGATTAAATCGAAACCAAATAATCAATTTTCAATGGATAAAAAAAAATACTTTAAATCCGTAAATAGATTGAATAATGTTTCACTGAACTTTTTTGAGGCGTAAATCGGTAGATATTGAAGTCCGCTAAGTCTCGATTTATGTCGATATTTTACCGATATTAAAATGAGAGCATCTCTAGTGAATGCTTTAAAAAAAAACAAATCTTGTCTATAGTTTGTAGTGTCACAGTGACGTTGACACTGTCAGTCATTAGTTTTTCATTCATTCATTCATTCATTCATTCATTCCAATTCTACTCGTTTTCTTCTCATGTTTGGTTGTATTTCGTGTTGCAAAATTAATATTTTTGAATTGCCGAAACGAATAAAATTGAATTTGAACCAAGGAACACCAATTGACTAACTTGTTTGAACTAATGTATAAAAAGTAAACGCCTTTAATTCAGACCACAGCGGTAAAAATTAAGGTGTGTGTTTTAGAAAAGTGTAGAATTATTTTACTGACGTGTATTTGTTGTGTTGGCAGGTGGTTTTATAGGTATTATCCTAATTATTATTTCAGGCTTTACGCGCATTAATCATGCCTTTAACTAAACGTAAAAACTCGCCGGAAAAAGAAGAATTAATTGAGAATGGTGACACCATGGCAGAAAATGGACCGAGTAACATTAAAGGTGATGAAGTGAATATAGCGGTTTTACTATTTTTATATACTCTACAAGGCATACCCTTGGGACTAGCCGCGGCAGTCCCTATGCTGCTTCAAAATCGCGGCATAACATACACACAGCAGGTGAGAACTTAATATTAGTTTTATCACATTATTTTGATTTACAAGTTTCCATTTTTGTTAATCATTACTACTTAATAATAATGACTGAGTAACTTGTTAATGATGCTTCCCTCTGACAACATTTTAAAAAAATATATTAAAAAAAACACAAGTACTTTGAGCTATTATTTTAATTTGGACTGCCCATTTTTTAAATGCAAATTTATTTTTAATGATTATAATAAAATCACAGTCATTATTGCATGAAAAACAATTGAAAACTTAATTTACTATTAGTAATTTATTATCAGAAACGTCAAAAAATTTGTAATTATTTAAATATTTCATTTTCAGGCTGAGTTCAGTTTAGTGTACTGGCCATTCAGCATAAAGTTACTGTGGGCACCTATAGTAGATGCTCTATTCTGGCCCAAATTTGGGCGGCGCAAAACATGGCTAGTCCCCGTGCAGTACCTCATCGGAATTGTTATGATGATCATGTCCAGCAACGTAACGGAGTGGCTCGGCTCCAAAAGCCAAGCACCGTCAATGACACTCCTCACTGCTTCATTCATGTTTTTGAACTTCTTGGCTGCCACTCAAGATATTGCTGTTGATGGTTGGGCTCTTACGATGTTAAAAAGGTAAGTTATATTTTTTTAGATTCAGTTCCACTTTTAGCTAAGAAAATCTATTAAGTTTACCATACACNCCATACATAATATTATTTTTCTATTTCCAGATGTAATGTTGGTCATGCCTCAACATGCAACACTGTAGGACAGACAGCTGGCTATTTCCTTGGCTATGTATTATTCTTGGCCCTAGAATCTCCCTATTTCTGCAACAAATACCTACGTTCAACTCCTGAAGAGACTGGCATTGTCACTCTTGCTAGTTTCTTATTTTTCTGGGGATGGATATTCTTTATTACGACTACATTTATCGCTGTTTTTAAACATGAGGCCAATGATGCACCTAACAACAGAGAAAGCCAAGTTAAAGGAATGAGTGACATTGTGACTGCATATAAACAATTGTATACAATCGTAAAACTGCCAGCTGTACAAACTTTGGCGTTGGTGCTATTTACTGCTAAGGTAATTAAATTGAAAGTGAGAATTTAAATCATTGTCATGCCATATCAGCGATTGACAAAAAATATAATTTCAGCTAGGATTCTGTGCAAGTGATGCAGTATCAGGACTTAAATTAGTTGAGGCAGGAGTGCCTCGAGAAGATTTGGCATTACTTGCTGTACCACTAGTGCCAGTTCAAATCATCATGCCAGTGGTATGTACCCTTTTAAAATGTGTATGGAGCTTATCAAGCATTTTGGCATCTTATTCAGTTGTAATAGAGGCGATTTTGCAACATAAATTATAGTCTAATGAGCTGTTGCCTGTTCACGTAATACTAGCTTTCCGCCCGCGGCTTCGCCCGCGTGGAATTTTGTCTGTCACAGAAAAACTTTATCGCGCGCGTCCCTGTTTCAAAAACCGGGATAAAAACTATCCTATGTTCTTTCCCGGGACTCAAACTATCTCTATGCCAAATTTCATCAAAATCGGTTGCGAGGTTTAAGCGGGAAAGCGTAACAGACAGACAGACAGACAGAGTTACTTTCGCATTTATAATATTAGTTGGGATATCAGAGTAGCTCATATTTAACTAAACTACAGCCAACGAGAAGCGATACCAAATGTAAACAAACCCAATGTCATGGGTGAACCCGTCTGACTGGCATAATTTTGCGGGAGAACGAGACATAACGACAAATACACAAGATGGGAAGAGATAGAATATATTGTCAACTCGACAGTCGTATCGACCTTTTGTGTCGCTGCTAGTTGGCCGTACTTTAATAAATGTTTTTAATTTGTCAGGTCCTAGCAAAACACACCACGGGCCCTGCGCCGCTACACTTGTGGTTACGAGCGTTCCCACTGCGGCTGTTAGTCGGCCCACTAGTGGCACTTCTGGTGGCGCTCACTCCCAGTCTTCTTGGAGACTCGGGCCCTTCCTACTCGTACCTCTTCGTTCTGATGGCGCTATACGTGTTTCATCAGGTAAGAAGTTAAAAAAGAATTCTAAATATGCGTGTATTAAGCCGGGTCTCCATCGCGTGTTTTGTCCTACACAATCAACAAAAATATTTTTGTAGGCAATTTTGTTGATTGTGTAGGGCAAAACACGCCCTGGAAACTCGGCTATAATCAACCATTATTGATCAAATTTCCTGTAAGATGTTTTCAAGTTGTCTTTAGGTAAACATATCGAAAAAAAAACTAATCATGTCGGCATTGTACTTACTATTACTATTATGTTTTCCTCCTTCACATTGAACACTGTTTTCCTGCTCTAATTTCGCTTAGACCATAGTGGGCGTATTGTGAATTTACGTAAAACGCATTCGATATCGACTGCGTAAAAAAGTGACATTAAATGTATGACGGATTGTACAACGCCCCTAGCGGAAACTTTCAAGAACTAAAATTTTCTTACATTTTTTAATGTGGTAAACTCACACTACGCCCCCAGAATAATAATAAGTTTAGACTTCAAATCCATTTCCGACACAATAATTCTTGGACACTTTTACATAGTAGAGCCATTTAATAACTATCATCAATATTACAATAGAAAACTCCCAGACTTAAAACATGCGATGTTCATTCATGCACACGTTTATATTGTGTGGTGGATCGAACCCGCGACCTAAATAGGGACAACCCTATAATGTAATATATGCAAATGTCGTCCTGCGCTTGTGGATAAGAGTAGGTATTCTTGTGTATCAATCATTACAACAGTCCATAAACTTTCGCAGACATGTCTCTACTGCATGTTCGTGGCAGTAATGGCGTTCTACGCGAAAGTGTCAGACCCGACAGTGGGCGGGACTTATATGACGCTGCTCAACACGGTGTCGAACCTGGGAACCAACTGGCCCAACACACTGGCGCTGTGGGCCATCGACTATCTTACCTTCAAGACTTGCACTGCGCCGGAGTTAAGCGATAACACGTGCGCTACAGAATTGGAGACTGATGTAAGTTTGTTTATAAATTCAATGCTTGTTTATATGCAATTACAGAAATTTATAAGTATTCTAACTATTTCTTTATTGTGTTTTTATTTCTTTACACAAGTATCTCAGTTTCATGTTTATCAGTATTCATTTGTTTAGTCTCTTTTAAAAATTAAATCACACCTGCCAGTGTTTATTGGCATTATCTCTATAGTTGTCCAACACTGAACCGTCCCAGTTATGAGATTGACAGGAGGGCGCTACTATCAAAGCTGTGTTATTAGTTCCGATTTTTGCCACCGTTTCAAAATCGTTTGAAACGTCAACTAGGCTATAAAATAAAGTTGTGATTGTATCATAAAAGTTGTTAGGGGAGTATTCGTGAGTCCGTGGCATTTTAATCAACTGTTCAAATAATCATAAAACATGGTAATGTTTACTGCTTAGTGTTTTCTTACATCATTATTAATTATGATTTATACGACTAGTAGTTTCAATTATTCATTCAAATAAAAGTAATAAAACCATAAATTAGGTAATCAAATTTTAGATTATTTTTTATGTCTTGAAAAAATCGATTACCATAAAGTGAGAATCTATTCTGTGACTTATGATGTAAAGTTTTCTAAAATGTTAACATATCATTTTATTTCCAGGTATGCACAAGCAGCGGCGGTAAATGCAAAATCCGCATCGACGGGTTCTACATAGAGACGGTGCTTTGCCTAGTGGTAGGCTTTCTCTGGCTGCAATGGGGCCGGCCCACCATAAACCGGCTCCAACGGCTGCCCCCCTCCGCCTGGCAAATCGGCCGCACCCACAGATAAGACTGACCTACTTACCTTTACCATTCCAATTTGTTTTTGTTCTAGGATAAAGTTGAATCTGCCTCTGGACAGTGTAACTTCGAACCAATGGTCAAAGAGTTCAAGAAAATGAACTACTTTAGAAGCTTAAAACCAGGCAATAAAGTTTAAAGTACGATGTAATTCATTATTTTTAGCAAAGGGTAAAAATGCCTTTGACGTCACCACCCGCTATCTTTACTTGAGTAACTGCTAAAGTACCAAGAGGTTTTATACTGTGACGCTAAAATTTTGTAGCGTAGCGAAATTTCGCTTTGGACATTGTTACATTGTCTACAGGCACTGGGCAATACATTTTGTATGCTCACTGACAGTTCGCAAAGGTCCCAATATTCAAAAATATGGACGCTTAAACCTTCATAATTTTGATAGTCGGATCGTTACACGGTGTTAATGAAACTGAGACGCGTGCTAATAAAAATAATAATCTTGACACCGCATCTGTTTTGCCATACATTGAGCTGTTGTTTCATACTAACACAAAAATGCAATTTTAAATACAAAAAAATAAACACTGAAATACCTCATTCATCGCGCTATAATTACGCGATAGACGGGCCCAATTACCTTTACCAGTACAGTACTACACCGTTAAGCTTTAATTTAGAATTTTGTGAAACTTGGATAAACTGTAAACGCTTTGCGGAGATTGGCACCTCACGCTTGCCTGTAAAGCAGTGATACCACTGCCGCGTGTCTCTAGTTTTTGTTGTAATCCAGTGTGGTAGGACTAAATTATGTATTTCAAATTTTAAAGCAAATAGCCTTGTCATTTTCATCATGACAGGGTATTTTATCAGCATTGATTGTCTTGATGTTTTTACAATATGAATTTTGCACAAAATTATATCAAGGCGGCATTTTGACATGTATATTGTTTAGTATTATCTACACAAATATTTTAAAGAGGTAAAGTTTGTCAGTTTGGATGTGCGTTACAGACTGTCTATGATAAATGCATGCGAAAGATTTAGATAGAAATAAAGTTCCGAAGGTTCTGGAATTGGCGACAGAAGCAGTAGTAGAGTTAGTAGTGTATCATTCGATGATAACTACGGTAGTACGACTTCCCAGTCAGACTTATGAATACAGGTTGTGTAGTCGCGGTTTGTAAACAATAATGGTAGTGTAATTGCCATCTCCACTTTACCTATACTTACTAATACTAGTTTTCTTACCGGCTAGAATGTTAGAAAAGGCCAATAGATATAAGTGTGTCATTGTGATAATTTATTAACAGTCTATTAAGGAAATAATAATGTAATTTATATAGTTTCAATTGTTTATATTTGTTATATCAAGTTCAAGTTATGGAGCATTATTGTTTCATAAAATAATTTAAAGGTCGGGGTAAAAATAAAAGAGATAGCAATAATTTACTCATTATACTTTATGTACACATCAACACTTACTGTATGTATAATAGTTTTATAACAATGCTATAATCCGGTTACTATTAACAATTTGGTAATCGTCACACAATACATGTCATCGGATAATGCGTCATCAACAAGTTTGGAATTAACTAAACAGAAGCAGTAAATCTAAATCGATTTGTTAACAGCAGTATAGACTACATTCAGTAAACACAAACAATGCTGCCTGCAGCTCAACTTGGAAGAAATAACAGTACTATGTAAACGATAAGTGATCAACATTGGAAGTTTTCAAAAAACATCTAAAAAAAAATTCAAAATATCTTTTAACTCATATTTTACAGACTTAATTTAAATAAAATAATATACGACATCTTTTTATAAAGAAATTATTGATTTGAGGTCACTTATCGTTTACTCTAACATCAACATGAACGTATTTGAATGTTAATTTCACAAGTAAAATTTGTGCACAAATGTTGTCCGTTTGAAATCTTAAAATTGTGCTGTCGACTACAAATATTTTTGTAATTAGTGTGTTAGTGTTGATACTTTATTCTTAGGCTCTATACGAATACACGACGGACACACAAGTTTATCGTTTGAAATAAAAACTGTATAATTTTCTGTATAAAAACATGTAGGTATGTTTTACCGATTCTATTTTGATCTTCCTACAAAATTAACTGACATTTCAAACAGAATTAAAAGTTTTGTTGAAAATAAATATATATTTTCTAAAACGAGCTTTGGCCTTTCTTTTACTACACAATTTGAAATAGTAAGTTGAATGTAAATTTATAAAAAGTGTAAAGGAGAAATGCATTGAAATAGAAAAAGCATAATATAAGTATTAGGTAAACAACAAAGTAATTTAGAGGTTCCAAAAAATCGAGTATATTTGTCTAAAAACCCAGCTATAGGCAGTATTTCTATTTTCTGGTCATAAACTTGTAACTATGACATTAATGTTTTCTTATCAGAAATAATAAACTTTATACGAGTATCATAACAGGTACATTAAAATCTATGTGTTAAATTAATCGATAACCAATTTTATAGTATACCCAAACCAACTATCTGAAGTTTTAAATACTAAACCATTACAGTCAAATCTTATTTTGAAAATAATACTTTGAAATACCTTTAATTAGTTTAAATCCCAACTAATATTATAAATGCGAAAGTAACTCTGTCTGTCTGTCTGTCTGTTACGCTTTCCCGCTTAAACCTCGCAACCGATTTTGATGAAATTTGGCATAGATATAGTTTGAGTCCTGGGAAAGAACATAGGATAGTTTTTATCCCGGTTTTTGAAACAGGGACGCGCGCGATAAAGTTTTTCTGTGACAGACAAAATTCCACGCGGGCGAAGCCGCGGGCGGAAAGCTAGTATATCATATTTTTCGGGTTGACTTTAATTATAATTACAAAAATAAAGATTCAAATATGACTAGATCTCGAATATTAAAAGTTTCATTTACCACGTGCGTTAAGTCGCCAGTACCTAATTAGATCATGCCTTCGTCAGTTAGTAGATCTACCGCTTTTAGTACACGCCCTATATCTACTTTACTAAACTTTTAAGGAGATAGCTAGTTATAATTTGGTGGAAGGAATAAATAAACAGACTAAATTCATAAAAATAATAATACTAGCAGAAATAAAGCGAAAATATGTTAACAGCTTTCGCTCTATTCAAGTTATACTTAAAACTTGACTTATTTTTGAAACAGATTAAATCAAATCAAAACCAGTTATTTATTACCGCATCTATTTTATCATTTGTTTAAGTTCCGATAGATAATTCATACACAAACGAATAAGTAATAAATCTATTTATTGCTCTGTTATTTTATATTGCCATTATTTTCTCAAACTGTGTCGGTAGAGTCGATGTTTAAAAATAATTTACTAAAACGCGATTAAATATTACTTGCAATGAACACTGTAGGAACATACATACGGCAGTTTATTTTTAAAACACACTGGTGTTATTACAAGAACACATAAAACTCCCTAAATCTGAACAAGGAGTTATCCTTATTCGTCTGACAAACCTACAAAAAGTTTTTGGCAACCTCATCTTATGCGCATCGAAAGCTATAGCCGCAAGTAATTTTCGGATAAACGCTGTGCAGCCCTTATAAATTGGATACGTAAATGATAAAAGTTTTCATTCAGCCTACGATACACTAGTAGGGGCTATGATTTATCCAATATGATTCGTTATGCCTAAATAGGATCAAATGTTTCATGCACATCACTAGACGCATAATCAAACTCGTTGTTAGTTTTAACCCTTTTTTGTAAAATGCCTACAAGAGTATGTTGGCCATAATGTATCGCAGGCTTCAAAGAAACGTCATACAAAAGGCAGTTTACACAAAGCGGTACACCTATCACCTGGGTTTAGAATCACGGGTCCCGCCTGTCGAGTTCCTCGTCGCATATGATGGGTTTGCGGTCGTCGCTCTTGCTAGCGCGACCCAAGCGACCGACTCTACGGGCGAGGGCGCTGGTCTTCTCAACTGCTCCCCAACCACCGCTGTGGCCGCCGCCGCTGCCTGATCGGGAGAGTAGACCGGTCACACCCTCGCCTAGCTTGCTGTGGTGGATGCCGTATAGGAAATACAAGAGCAGGCCTGGAAAGATTGTTTAATGGTCAGAAAGGCTCGTGAGTGGAAATTCCGATCTGAGAATTCTCAAAAGATGTTCAAGGACCACTAAAATTGCAAAAATCGTTCTTCATTTCATTTTGAACTGATTAGAATCGAATAGATATGTGGAGATACATTTTACACAACAATTACCTACTATCGAACTCAATATATTACGTTTACAAAAGGACTTACAAAGAAGAAGTCGACGAAAAAGTTGTGAAACCTCACCACACAAAACATTGTGACGATAAAGGTGTTTGTGTCTGAAACACTAACCGAATGTCATCCAAATAGCGAACCGCGCCCAAGTCAGAGCGCCCAGGTTGACCATCAGCTCGACGTTAAGAAGAACGCTGGCAGCCGGCAGGAAAGGCACCCATGGCACGCGGAACGGCAAGCGCGTCGGGCTCTGCTGGTGGGCTTTGATGATTACCAGGCCTGAAAAACATATTTCAAGATTCCTTAAACTCTAGCTACGTCATCAACACTTCTGATGAAAATGTAACTAACAGTGACAAAAGTAAAGAACGAAATCTAGCTGCAAAACCAATATCGATATGTGTGTTGCAGTGGTGGGAACGAGATGAGGTAAGTAATTGTAACGTTTTTTTAACACTTCTAGTTTCAACTTTATTGGTTCTACTCAGGATCTCTACAACAGCCTAACTGCCCAAAGTAACTTGCTGGGATGCGCGCCATTTTATCTATTTTACGCGATAAGCTCATACATTGTGACATCTAAAATCATCGTTAGGAGTATATCACGAGCACGATGCGCTTTTCATTCTACATATTATAATCAAAAACCCAACTTACAAGCGATAATGATCAGGTAAAGCACGAAGTCTGGCAACAGGGCCCAGAGACCCGCGGGTTCAGCCAAGAAGTGGTTGTGGGCGCACAGAGCGGCGGCCGCGGCTGTAAACGTGTACACGCAGCCCGACACCGCCGCCCCCGGGGCTCGGCCACCGGCCAAAGGCTCGAGCCACGCGTATTGGGGCCGCAGACGCCCCACAGTAAGCGCTTCGAACATCTAAAACGTGAAGAACATCCAGTTGTCAATCCAAAAGGTAGGTAAGTACCTTCACCTAATTCTTTTGTTATCTTTTCCACACTATTTGTTGATTTGTTATCATATCAATGCTATTTCAATCAATCACTGTTTTTTAAATGTACCAATCGATTACCGATTGTTGTTTGTTGGCATAAGATGTTTATCGGATATCAAATCTAACAAACAACAATATTGATTAGTTTATGAGTCGTAAGGGCCTCTCAATTTAATTAATTTATTAAAATGTCAACCCACTTAGTTTGCGTTTGCTTGCGTTTTAATACGAATGTTATAAGGTTTATGATTTTTTATTACCTCAGATGATGATGATCCTCCATCGGTTGCTGGGGTGCCAGTAGCTGAGCTATCCTCGCGATCGATTGGCGAGTCCAGCTGAGGCACGCCAAAGCTTTTGTCATCTACCGAAGGAATAGGCCGGTACCGCAATATTATGACGGCAGCGCTAACAATCGTATAAGCCAGCAATGTTCCTATTGACATGAACTCTACCAACTTCTCCAAGTCGAACAATAAAGCAATGATAGCAGATGAGAATCCAGAGATGATAAGATTAGAAATGGGAATTTGGGACTTGTTGTTAACGTCACTAAGAAATCCAAAGAGCAACCCATCGGCTGACATGGCATACAAACATCTTGGTAAAGCAAACAGTGATCCCAGTAACGTGGTGGTCATACCACAAACTGCACCGACGGCGACGGCATACTTCGCCCAATCAGCGTGGACTGCCCCTAGAGCTGCTGGCAAGGCAGCCTCAGGATTGATACTCTTATAGGGTACCATCAATGTTAGAGCTATGGCAACCAGAATGTACCCAAACGCCACGACCGCCATGGAGAGAATAGTGGCGATCGGAATAGATCGGGATGGATCTTTTGCCTCCTCGCTCGAAGCAGAAATACTATCGAAACCGACAAAGGCGTAAAAACAAGTAGCAGCTCCTGCTAAGACTCCACTAAACCCATACGGCATGAAACCACCGTTCTTCGGAGACCAATTGCTAATATCAGCGTAATAGAAACCTAAAAATATAACAAGCGATATCACTAAAAGATTGAGAATTGTGAGGCCATTATTTATGTAGGCCGACGTTTTGACTCCGACAGCTAATATCAATGAAGCTACAATGCATATAAGAAATGCTAAAACATCTGGGTATCTGCTGAGAAGTGTCTCGTGAAGTTCTCCAGTTATCGATATTGTCGCATTACTTATAGCACCGTCCAGCATTGCATCTAAATAACCAGACCACGCCCTCGCAACAGAGGCAGCACCTGAAAAAAATCAAAGTTGTTATCTAAACAAACATCATATTTACGCTAATGATAAAAATGTTAACTTTTGTAGTTAAAATCGCCTACCTATCATATATTCCAGAACGATGTTCCACCCAATGATGAAGGCCCAAAACTCTCCGATGCTGACGTAGGTGTACGCGTAAGCGCTACCAGCTCTCGGGATTCTGGTTCCAAACTCTGCGTAGCACAGCGCTGCCAGTGTGGAGGTCACGCCAGCCAGGAGGAAGCTGAGAGCAGTGGCCGGGCCCGCCATGTGACGGGCGACGGTGCCCGTCAGCACGTATATGCCTGCGCCCACCATGTGCCCGACACCTAGAATGGAATAAGCAATATTGGTGAACATAAGTAAGTATTGTCTGCTAACTTTAAAATGTAGAATAGAGCTTCAGAACTTATCGAAGAAACGTTGTGTAAGATGTCCTTCAACAAGTTGGTAAAGTATGGCCAGGCAAGTAAAGATGTGACTTTATTGGAATTTAGTAAGATGAGAAATCATTAGTAGTGACAAAGCATGCATGCTAATGACAACGGGGTAAAATTTGAAATCCATCAGACATTTCAGATGATTTACTTATACAGTTCATATTTTTTTCCGTAGTTCGATCAAAATTATATGTCTCGCAAGTTCGTTTTTAAGCTTTATTAACCAGTGATTAACTTGACAGAGGTTGAACTTACCAAGAAGAGTTATGTCGAATGTGGTGAGGCAGCGGTTGAGCGGTGTGTCCAAAGAGTCCCCGTGCAGGGGCTTACGGCGATTCATCTTGTGGCAGAACCCCGAGAGCACATGCCCCAAGATTTTGTGTCGGGCCCCCGGCATCTTGCCTAGAAAACAGAGGTAAGTATTAATTTATAGGTACCTACTTCATTAGAAAGTATTTTATCTATGTTGTTGCCACCCTTTGATATAGGCAGAGATTTCTTTGATTCTTGATTTCTAAAGAAACAACATTAACTATCATCAAGACCAGAAAGAACGGAATATACGAGCATAGTCGTTAATTCCTCTATGTATACGAGCAACAACCTCACTTGTTTATTTCATGGAGTAGTAAGATGTGTTTAAAGAAACTGTCAATATTCCACGTGATTTATTTTAAGAACCGCTTCATTTGCTCTAGTTTTTGACGATTCAAAAACATTTTCAACACTGTTACACTCATGAAAATCGATTTTCAGAGCCTTTCTGTGAGCTGTAGTAAATCATATACATGTGCTGTAATTATCTCTACTCCGAACAATAGTTACATAAATAATCTTAGAGAGAAGACAACAAAAAGTTTAGTTTAATTACATAGAATAAATACGTAAATACCTGGTTATTATGAGCCAGCTGACGATTTTTGCAATACTGCCAGTGGCAGCACGACACGACTGAAGAGCTTGCGCGCGCAACTAATCGATTCCATACAACCTTGTTTACATCATCCTATGTGGGTAGTAGATGCACGCAGGAAATGTAAATGGAGATAACAAATTAAAATTCCACTACAATGGGATCAGTTTTCCCACAGAATTCTAAAATAGTAGGGTAGGTAGAGGGGTAACCTCATACTTAAGATGGTTGTACCCAAGTTCGATATTCATTCAATGGCGCCAATAGAACTGTGCTAAAATTCCGACTTGTACGTGTATGTGTATGTCCACCACTACTATCTTTAACAGTCTTGTCAGCAGGCTCGAACATAACACTTACCAAAATTGAAATTTAAAAAAATTCTAGGTCACTAAAAACGACAAATATAACAAAAACTCTACATAATTTAAACGCGTAGGTTAATCATAATATTAAATCAGGGGTAACCGGTCGATCGTGGCTGTTATGTTCCTACACCTACCTAGTCGTTTTGATCGCGAAAAGACAAACAAATATACCTAGGAAATATGCGTAAAAGAGACTACGGATTTAAAAAGAAGTAATTTAATTATTAGATCGCACTGGGTTTTGCCAGTAAACAGTAGAAGTAATCATGTTGGCCCTGTTATAAATTAATGATAGTACGGAACCTTTCGTGTGCGAGTCCGACGCTCTTATGCTATAATATTTATGATATGGAGCCAACGGCAGCATCCAGACTATTAAGGTATCTAAATTATCACTATAAGGTAATTATAATTAAATTTATTATTTTATTGATAGGCATTTTAGAAAAGCAATCACATAAAGAGTACGATTTTTTAGTTTTTCTCACTGAACTCTAGCAAAATTATAACGACAACCTGTTGTTCGTCACACGGAAGATGCATTAAAGGAGTTTACGCATTGACCTGGAAGAAGTGAACTCATTTTGTAACCACTGATGTAGAGCTAAAGAAGGGAATAAAAGTTGGAAAATGTTGAAGGGTTTTAAAATAACTATTTCAGTGGTTACAGAAAAGTAGGCGCGGTTTTTTTGCAAAGGTATAATGAACACTTTACATCAGTAGATGGGAATAAGCTAGGTATAAAATTAAAAACATTATTATAAATTTGTAACATTTTATTTATTAATTTTCTATATTTTATCATTCATTAATATACATAAAACCTAATTAAAAACTGTCATGCTACTTTATATTAAGTACATCATAAATTGAAGTTAATTAACTAAAATCGAGTTATAATTTGTCAAAAACAAATGTTAATACAAAAATTACATAAAGATAACTTGGGAATAATACTTTAGGCCCCGTTCAAATTTAGCCCTCGTCTAATTAACTGTTAACCATTTATTAAACTCTGTATTTATAGTTAACTTATTCCCTCCAATCAATTCCTTATTACACAAGTATCGCAATCAAATTATTGGACAGTTCTGCATTAAAATAGGCTTCCTTCATTTAATATTGATGAAAGAATATTTACCCCATGAAAATAATAAAAATCTTTATTCTTGCAAGTAAAATTAACTACATATAGTAGCCAATAAAAAACAATATTCCGTCTACGTCTTGGATTAAACCAATTTGTGAGAGTAACTAAGCAAAACATTTAGATAAATACAAGTTAAGGGGATTTATTATAAAATTAAATAACTTAAAAATCTCACTGACTAATTCGTTTATGTACAAGCTTATTTCAAATAGGTACAACGTTATTTAGAAGACATTACTTATAAAACATGTTAAAACCAGACCACTATTTTGTGATTATACATACATGAATCAATACTATGATTCATATTTTCTACATAATTAAATTATAATTTGTTAATTTCAATATTGTTTAATGCAACTTCCATGGCAAACTTATATTTACATTAAACTATCCTGATGGCACATGAAATGTCTGTCAAATCTTAGCTATTTCGGGGATTAATTTTACAATTTGTAAAGTTAGTCGTATTTTAAAACTAATACCTACACTTACATATTTTAATACAATTTGTATCTTTAAACCCAAAATAAGTAATATCTATTATAAATTCAGTATAAAGTTATAATAGGGATGATGACTGGGTAATGAAATCGAAATTCTATTTAGTCCGTCAGACAGATAATTAGAAAATATTAGACTCATATTTTTTTATTTTTTTCCATAATCGAATAATTACAGTATTAGGGGAGAGTTCGGTATATTGTACCGCCGGGTAAATTGTACCACCCCCATATTTCGTAAAGTATTTATTGAATGTCTGTAATTGCAACACTTAGCGATACACAACTAAAATCAATTAATATCAGCCATGTGGTTTTCGCCGTGACAACAAACACGTGTGTTTTATTTTGAAAAGTATTTTTTCATTGTTTTCAAGTAACTTTTGACAATACATGTTTAGTTTGTAATTTTGTTAAATTTAATCACAGGGTGTTTCTAATATATTATTTAGAAGCGTAAATTAGTGTGGATTACAATATTATTTGAAACATTTTTCGGTATTTATAAGCTATATTTTTTACCGATTTTTTAAAAGCACTATCACCTAGTCGGCTAAATTGTACCAAATCAAGTTGTATGGAACTTTACCAAAGGATTTTGAATTTTTTTTTAGCAAATCATATTTTAAAGTTATAATAGCGTAGTTATGTTTCTAACAATAAATGAAAGCAAAAGACTGGCAAAGTAGATTAGGTACAAATGTGCGTAACGATAATTGGAACTACAAAACTTGTACTTAAAATCGTGATAACGTGTAAAACAATATCGATTGTCTATGTTATTAACTACTGTTCCTTTTCATTTCCTAATTTGTTAAGAATGTATCGTATAATATTTTGCCATGGTTTTTTATAGGCTTGAAATTTATTGAAATCTAATTTAGTAACCCTGTGGTACAAATTATCGAACCGGTTGGCTAAATTGGACCGAAGCTCTGAACTCGTACTTCGTTGATTTGTGCTAAATATACAACAATCATGTTAATTAATACTTATGAAATAGTAAGTTGAATAATGTATCTTTTATTATATACCATGAACATTAGCAAAAACAAAAGAAATCTATGTGTAAAATGGGATTGAAAAAAACTGGTCCAAATTAGCGGACTCTCCCTTATATTGAGTTGAAATGTCGCGTGACGTCACTTTTGAGTAAAAANTATTATCACTTGCCGTTACTGTTCCTCTAAGCTAGATCATGGTAATAATATACCTACATGTAGATTATTTTCATCCATATGATCTGTAGGTAGGCAAACTTGAAGCATTTTCTAATATGGACGATGGCACATCAAGCTAAACATGAAACAATTTGGTAGAAAGTGCTACTTATTTTGAAACAAAAAATACGGAACCCTAAAAATCACCTTATTCGAATGAAGGGTAATTTCCGGACGCTGTAACCAATACCCAATACGAAGCCGGCCTATAGAGATAGAAAACAGGTAAAGTGACAAACTTACAGCTTCCATGTCTATAATAGCCTAATTAATTTCCAGATGACATGAGGATGACTCGGATTCGAGTCTGGACAATCTAATTGATGCCGATGACGAGGAGGCGTACGATGACGAATGACACGGGACCCAGGCCATCGTGATCATCGCGTAAGGGATCATTTGTGAAAGAAAGACTACGTGCTGTAGTGATGTGATTGATTGAATTGTTTTAAGATAATAGAGTCGAGAAGACTATGGTTCATAATATAAAAATAGAGTATACGCTTGATCTTGACTTGAATTTTAAGCGTTATTTCAGATTACGAGCGTATGAGTTAATGGACAATATAGGATAGGACAGCAATTGAGTGAAAATATTCTAATAATAGTTTGATGCAAGCTGTAGTGTATGTGAAAGATCATTTATTTTGTTTGAACGATGTTACAAAACCTGAAAGAATGTGTTCTGAATCAGTACGCAAAGTGTATTAAAGTGCTAGATTATGCACTAAAACGAAATTCTAATACCAATAGTAATTCAACATGATTCAGATGAAACAATCAGTCAGTAATAGTTTTTCGTTTTGCTCAATAGTACCTACATAGGCATAATTTGATCTACATTCAATTGATGTTCGTAGTAAATAACCTAAATATAAGGAAAAGTGGTGATCTTGTGATAATATCCATTAGTGAGAGGCAGATGTAATGTAGAAACTTAGCCGGGTAAGGGTAAGCCTTGTTTTACTGCTGTTGGATATTTCGTAATAACTAATATTATAGTTAATATCTAACAGAGGTTAAACAGTTTTTAACTTTGCTAGCTTGGTGCCACCCAAACGTTTTGAATTTAAATGTTTTTGGTTGTAGTGAATGTGATACATTAAATAAATATTTTAAGGTATCCGTCCATCCGCCATACGCGATATATGAGCACCGCTTACGTGCTTTACATTTTAACAACTTATTACGTATTTTTATCAAGTCGCCTTAATAGAAAACTTTGCTAGTTAATAAGTAGGTCCTTTAATCAGTCTACTTTGGTAATATAAAGAACGGAATTATTCAAAGTCGGCCTAATAATTCAAGAAATTTATTAATAACAATTAGAATAAAGCTGTTACAAATCATCAAGTGTCGTAAGCCCATGTCTTTTTGCAATAAAAATAAATGCTGAATCATTAAATATAACAATTGTTTAAATTACTATACCTCATTTTTCTAATAAATACATCCTATATATTTTTTCTGCTTCTTGATCTTCAAAACATGGATTGAACTTGACTTCAATTATTTCTGTGAAGCCTTCACTTGGCGTGGGATCCGTGAATTTATTTCTGCAACAATGATAATATGTATTTATTTAGCCATGTATATTTCAAACAAGTAAAGCGTCTATATGTATATGAATAAAAAATTGATGACTCCACAATCAAAATATAAAAATCCATAGAGTTGTTTAGGACAAAACAGTGCTTATTAAGTAACAAATAACAATATTATTGTTCTGAAATTAATGGACTTGTATTGCTACTGTTGTAAACTAATATGTACCAATAAAACACTGCAGATTTGTCTGTAGAAGGTCACATTTTCTGTATGTCACACAATGTGAGAAAGTTACTTTTGGACCTAGTCAAATATTATACTCACTTGTAAGTATGAAAGACGATGTCATTGACTGGAACGTGGTTGATCTTCATGAGCTCCCTGAACTTGTTGTTGTGTTGCGCGTGCGCCTTCGTGGCGGCCATCTTGGCGCATCTGCACTCCACCTTCATTTGTTTCGCGAGAGAAGTCCAGCGAGACCGCGACTCGATATCTGGGTTAGTACTGTCCACGATTACACTTTTTCCTCTCTGAAAATTGTATTTAAGGTGATGCCTTGCGAATATTGGGCGTTTTAAAGAAGCGCAGAATTAGTTTTAATCGTACTTTTCTTATTACTCATGTACTTATTTTGAAGTTGACTAATAAATTTAGTGTCTGGTAGAAGCCGAAACATAAATGGAAACAATTTTCTCGAGAGAAAAAAAATCCAAAGATGACCCTTCTATGTATACTCGGTTTTTTGTTTTATAAGCAGATAGGCTAATATTTCAATACCAAATTTTGTATATTGGTAAGGTAATAACATATTCTAAGTACTGGTCGAGTTATTTTCTTTAAATAGTGTTTGGTTTTTCAATAAATACATGATTTCCGATTTTTGTCGCTTACGTTATTTTATTCCGCGCCGCGCGCGCTATTGCTGTCCCTTTCCTCGCACTGAGAAATCATATTTCTATCCCTCTGTGTGCGAGGCATTCAGTCGGCCGAAAACTTTTACGAGGTAGCGCCTTAAGAATGTTTAGACATGTGCAAAGTTATTTATTTCCAGAAAGACACCATGAGGACTTTATTCAAATTCAGTCCATTTTGTCGATCGAAACAAAAGTCAATCGTTTGTACGTAAGTAATCGCAATTATCATGAAACACCCACCTCTAAAAGTTTTGTAGCTTCAGCAGCACACTTCTGCCAACTACCAAGAACGTCTCTGCATACGGCCACATATTGGTGATTCGACTTTTTTTCTATTTGCTTAGCCAGGAATGATTTGCCACTGCCAGGGTACCCCACAAAGACGAGAATCTAAAAAGAATGTTCATATTAAGAAACTTAAAGGACAATGGGCAAAATGGTACCCGGCTCCAATAGATATGAGTCTAGTATCGTTTGAAAGGTCTTACCAAGATGAACAACTTTTACTATGACCACCAGCCTCAGATCTGGTTGTGTACGAAGATATACATACTTTTTTGCAGAATGGTACCCGGCTCCAATAGTAATGTTTATAGTGTCATTTGAAAGGTCTTACCAAGACGAACAACATTTACTATGGCCACCAGCCTCAGATCTGGTTGTGTACGAAGATATACATACTTTTTTGCAGAATGGTACCCGGCTCCAATAGTAATGTTTGTAGTGTCATTTGAAAGGTCTTACCAAGACGAACAACATTTACTATGGCCACCAGCCTCAGATCTGGTTGCGTTCGAAGATAAAGATACTTTTTGTGTAACCTAAGTATCATACAGTATGAAGGGGACGCGCTCGGGGCAGGGCACAGACGCGTCGGTGCCCTGCCTCGTCGCGACGAGATGNAAATTGTACTCAATCGTGACGTATCGCGCCATTTCAACTCGATGTAGCACTGTTAATATTTAATTATGAAAGAAAATAAAAAATATGAGTAATATTTTCTAATTATCTGTCTGACGGACAAATAATTGAAATTTTGTCATCTAATAATCTAAAAATTTATTAGTTATTATTTCTTATTGTTTCGGTTGAACAGCTTATAAGTTTGCGTTCAATTTATAAATAAACATAAGTGAAATAAGTAATCCACATGGTGTATTACATATTAAATTCCGATTTACTGGATCTGGCAGATTCATCTCAACATTATAATTGCCTAAATCTTCTTATAAGTAATGTAAAGCTTGATTGCCACTTTCATTCAAAACTGCCTTCGGAAGTTTACGTTTACTTCTTGTAAATGTAAAAATTTCGCAATATTGGAGTAAAAAATATATGAAAATATTATACAAATTATTAACTTAAACACAACAGTTGGAGCAGGGCCACAAAGACATTTTAATTTTTAGTTAGGTAAGCACCTTTTTTTGACAAAAACTATGACGGCTTAAAACGGTCTATTCCACTTTGATCACCTGTCTTTGATCACCCACGGATACGATGTCCTGGGTGATCAAAGTGGACTCCAGATAAATTATTATTTTAGTGTCCTTTGATCACCTATAAATAAATCATACCTCCTCTGAATAGTCACATACCTATCCAATTTTTGTAGGACATTCAATTGTCGCTGGAAGTCCACTTTGATCACCTGGGTGATCAAAGCCAGGTGATCAAAGTGGAATAGACCCTTAAAACACTTAAAATAGTTCAATTCAAAAAAGAGAGAGACGGTTCGATCTTTTGAGGTTACGTAAATAAGCAATTTGCTCAAAAACCTAAAATTCTGAATTAAAAAAATGTTGTATAATAACACAAATGTCTTAATTAGATAGTACGTAATTATAACTATTCGTGAAATACAAAGATTAAGAATATTCAATGTAAGTAATGTGATGTTCAATTAATAAATTCTAAAATATTATACAGAATTACAAAAAAATATGATAACAAGAAAATACAAATTAAAATGATATGTTTTCAGTTTCAGTCTTGAGTAAGTAAATGTAGCGTTTTGGTAAGTTACTACTTATTAATAACAGATTATTATTAAAAATTGTATGTTATGTATTTAATTGTTTTAAACAATAAAAGTACGTATATGGTAGTGTTATATTGAATACCCACACGTAATAATACATAATATTTAAGTGAGTAGTTATAAGTGCGTAACATATTTTTATCAAATACATAAATTTCAATAAAAATACAAACATACACTTTATGAAGTGTTCTTTTTATACAATTATTATGACTTAACAACATCATCATACTCATACAAGATGTCAGTAAAGTGCCAACAAAGTTAAATTCTTTTATAATTTACTTTAAAAAATATTCGAAAAGTTTATACATTATACAACTTTCTTTTTTAAATTTATATATTTTAAATAAAAGTGACCAGGAGGTTTCTTTTAATTTATAGAAGAAATATCAATTTTGTCATATAAGTGGTCCCAGTGTTAGAAACATTATATAAGTACTCATTAACTTAAATAATTATAGTAAGTAATTATTAATATGACTAGATTTTTTCAAGTAATTTATTACGTACATATCAAGTAAGTACCAGAATTATAGTTTTTATACGACGATTGTAAAAAAAATATTTTTATTTAAGTATATTTATATCTTAACGGAAATGTTATATGCCTTAATGATTATGAAGATATGTATGAAAAGAAAAATAGGTAGCGGTGGATTCTAATGAGATATTATAAAAAGAATAAATAAATGCAATAAAATGTTATTATACAAAAATATATCATTATAAAATGTAGTTATCCATAGTTACACATTATACTTATTTAAATACTTTATAATATTCGCAATTTTAAACGACAAATATTGATAATTTAGTAGATGGTAGAAATAAGCGATCTGATAAGTATAATCGGCGGACGGCAGTACCTTTGCCTCACAAAATTTAGTTATTTATAACACTACTTCATTAAACAAAGTACTCATTGCGGCGTTTTACATTATACTTAATTATTTTCACTGCGTTTTCATTTTATATGTTTGCTATTAAATGAATTTTTTTGAATTTAAATGAATGGTTATGGCGCCCAATAAACTTTTTATCCCGTCGATTCAAAATATGTCATACTTTGTTCTAGTCGCTACTGAGATACTAACACCCGTATTCACAAACGATGCTCGCTTAAGTAAAGCAGCAAATCGAACGCACAGCGTTGAATAAAGCTATGTGATTGGTTCGTGTGTGACCATGTGCGTCCACGCGCACTATGAGACCTCAAAGTAATGTTTATGAATACGGGTCTAAATCTAAATGCCATTTAAAATGAAGTACTGTTCCAGAGTAGACTCGAATTTAATAACTTGTCATCTATAGAAGTTTTTATTAAGTTATATTATTGTATAAATGAAACTAGAAATATTTATCACTTTCATGAATTTACGATTTCCAAATTGGGTACGTACCTAGAATAGGTAAAATTGATACTACAGACATTAAATATTTGTGACACTAGACGCTTGATAGGATGATATTAATACGATAAGATTAATAGTATTGAGGTACGACCATAGAAAAGACTCATAGATAAGTCCGAGTGCTATTTTGAACCCTTTGTGACTTCCATCATATCATTATTTTACGTAGTACCTATTCGTAAATAACAATGGATAAAACGAAACACAAACAAGCACACAGAACAGAATTAGTACCTACTATTTTAGTAGGTAGGTATATTATGAAAAATTATTGCAGAATATTATGAACCTACCCCTCAGTATATTAGTAGTACTTACTTATTTTTAAAGATAAAAAAATGGTACCGATATAGGTACTTACAATACAAAAATAACAAAATCATCCAAAAATAAGTTTAATAATTAGTTTGTAATATGTAATATTATAATACACTTTGTTGATCAATGAATGATCAACACAGCGTAGATGATTTATATGCTAATCCCCTTTGTAATAAAAGTTACACGCACATTGAACACTAGTTTTAAATGACATTTAGTATGGAAATCTAATTTTATAGTATTAATGGTCAACATGCATGTAACTTTATAATAAAGAACTAAAAATAATTAAAGCTTTTTAAAAATAAACTAAATGTGGATCGACATTATGTCCATTTAAAATTTAAATAATAATAATATAATATATTATTAGGTAGGTATATTTTGTCAAACAAGCTTTGCACTACACAATATTTTATTCAACATTTACCTAATTTCATAAAAAGTATTTTTATAATACAACATGGTTGTTACAAGTCGTACATGAGTAGTACCTACAAAAATTTTACATTATAAGTAGTGCATATTTAACATGCTGCTCCCCTAAATGTCATTTAATCATTTTGAATGCCTAATTTTATCCCTTTTATAAATTCAACCCTTTCATAAAATATTGTAATAGGTAACCCAACTTTATAATCCATCACTTAGCACCTTAAAATTACATTCAACATTATTATTATACATATCACATTTAAATTGCACAATATAAAACATATTAGTAATGACATGAAAATACTTAGGCAAAGTATGGTGTCACAAACAATGTGATCTATGGTAATATAGTATTCCAGAATTTATTACATTATTTGCCTTGATAAGAGATTAACCAGTCTCTTGGAACTAGTTTTATGTTAGAAAATAGTTTTAACATGTCATTCTGGAACACGCCTAGTAGGTATATGAGAGAGTATCCAATCCAAGACTTCCGGTTCATGTATGGTCCCGCAATTTTCGGGATAAAATAGGTATAACATTGAAATTTCCAAAAAAAATCATAAATACTGTGGAAAAACTAGCATTGGAAACTCCAGTGAATATGTCATATCATGTAGGTACTAATAATGTTCATAAGACTGTACACTTGGAAGAAAACTTGAAGGTTTTCTTTCGTTTTCACCACTATCCTCCAGTCCCATTAAAATATTGTGCATGTTTAGTGTATGGAGCTGCAATGTGATATGGGGGGGGCTGACCACGGCCGTACACTGGTTCAGATAATCCACTAGGGCTATGTCTGTGACTAATAATACTGGGGGTATTGGAAGCAGCTGGTAGAACGTCATACAAGTCAAACATATTCTGACTTGTTGGAGAATGCACATGACTATAACTGCCATCATCAGATATGAGCGGAGTGTCCGTCATTCGATATGGATTAGTTGTATTTGTATGCCCAGTTGGTGAGTAGAGCTCTGGCGATTGAGACGATACATATGTGGGGCTAGACGTTGATACATTGTACATGTTTGCATTTGGTGTAGAAGTTGGGTATTGACGACTATCCATTCCAGGTATAGCATACATGTTATTATATTTGCTTAAATTTGGCATAGTAGTAGAGCTGACCACTTGACTGACAGTGTGTACTCTTGGACTTAATTCACAACTGCCATGGGGAAGATAGTTGTATGTATCATAATTCCTCTGTCCATATATTTTCTCTTTTGCCTGTGCATAGTTATCACCATCATAAACACTCTCATGATAATTTCCATCAGGTACAGGATTGCAAGCCATGTGATCTTTTTTGGAATACATGGGTTCAAATTTGTGAATATTTTCCATACCAGTTCTAGGATTGTATGGTCTATCATCAAAATGTGGTGGAAGCATAGTATCATTATTAGAATGTCTATCTTGAGAGCTAAGGCTTAATCTTTGAAAGCGCCCTCTAGAGTCATCTAAACTGCTACGGTAATTACTCTCATTAGGAACTTGATAATTCTTGTGATCGACATGTGCTCCATATATATTTTGAGGTATAGAAACAGTTGACCTATCCATATAATCATTTGGTTTTGCAGCAGTATATCTTTGATTTAAAATATAGTGATCTGATATTTCTCCCTTGTGTTCATTTTTAACAGTTCCATTATTCTCAGGATATAAAGCATGATCTACGCTCTTATATGTTTTATCTTGTTCATATGCAAGATCCAAAGGTCGGTCATAAGCATTCTCAGTAGGAAGATTATCATACACTGACATTTTCATTTGATCTTGATTAGCACCATCTACATTATCTTTGGCTGTATTTTCTGTTTGCTTTTTATTGTCTGATGCAAATCTTTGTTGCAATGTGGGGGTTATTTTGGCAGCTTTGATATGCACTGTATTTTGCATGGGTGGAGATACATCTTGAGCACCATCTTTATGAATATTTCTAGCATGTTTAGCCAGGGCTCTCAGCTCCTTAGGG